TACGACTGCATCATCTGATAAAAAACTACACAGTTGATGAATATTCTAAACCAATCATTTATTCATGAATATGATGAATCTACTGATATTACTTCAGGTTCGATGTGGTGACTCGGTATCACACAGCAAATGAATAAGTATGATCATTTTTATGTTCACCTATTGCACTTATGAAACGCAGATTTGAAACTAGTGAACTAAGCGATCGTTACATAGTAAATGAATCATTTCAAAAAATATTTTCACTTATTTTTTTCATTTTGACTCAAATGATATGCTTTGAGAAAAACTCATTATTGATTACATGCCAAAAGAATGTTTTTAACGCTTGGTAAAATGGTTACATTTACTTATTTCCATATTGTTTAAATTATTGATAGACATTTAGTAAACCAATTGAATATCGAATAAAATATGAATAGCAACAAAGCATAATTCGTTCTATTATGATAATTCAATAGAAGTTTAGCCTTTGAATGCCTCATTTGATAGGGATTCCATAATATAAACGAACAAGCGTATTGTAATTGTTCTATTCGTCTATGTTGTCATCTCGTGTTCAAAGTAATAGCGAAGTTTATTTTTTTGATGAACAGATGCTAGATGAATGATGTAAATCATAGTTTCATTCATTTATCTTTTCGATATTCATATGACAGATGGTGCATTGTCACGTCTATCAAAGATTGCATTCTACACAAATGATTTTCACCAAAGCCGTGTTCATTAAATATCCTTCATCCAAACAACAATATTAATGAATAGTTACATGGATTGAAGATGCGTTACTCTTGAATATTCATGACCGGTGTTTCATTCGTTTATGCCATGGATTTCTTGCGCTTTATTTCGACTCATATAATTGATTAAAAATCTAATGGTAAATGAATAGTGCTTCTCCAAAAATGTTATACGTTTATTTCCACTCATATACAAATCACTGTTTCAAACCGAGAAGTTGATTACTAATCACAAGATTGATGAATGATATTGACGCGAAAGTTGTACAAATATTTGATGGACCACGAAATCGAACATCGATACTCTTTCGTTCAGACATGATGAGATGGCAAGTAAATACCAGTTTTCCAATCTTCATTTTTCCAATTTTGCTGTTCAATGATATGGTATGAATTAAACTAACGTTTTACAATAAATCTACACTCAAATAATTGCACAATAGATGACCGATCACAATTGTTGAAATGAACATGCCCACCTATTGCACGTACTTGATACATAATACCTGGAGCCAATGAATCGTTCAACGATCTCATGAAAATGAAATGATTGTTATTGCGCAGATATTCTTCAGTTATTTTACTTGTACTGACATGTCGCTGCAGAGTAGTGAGAACAATCAATAATGACATGAACAAAGAATCGCCAGTACCCAATAGTTGTGTTCCTTATTTTTGTGCTCTCTTCGAGGATGTATTAGCAGATATTTGAAAATCAGTAACACAAATAAAATGTATGAGCGTTTTCCATTGGTCGTGACGGCTCTGTTCATCTATTTTACTGACATATAGTCAATGATACAAAAGCAGTCGAAGTGTTTTTAGATTTATCGATTAAATGAATAATTATCATTGCCAGTGAGTTCTGTGGACTTATTTTGTCATAAAAAATGTAAATATTTCAATGGTGTATCATATGGATATTCTCATATGGCAAATGAATGAAAGAAAAACTGCCAATTATCCTGTTTATCTACGTCAAGTATTTCAAATTGAAATTACCGACGTTATAAATGAAACGAATATAGTCAGTAAAATGAATTAATTCAATCAAGATTTAGTTCGCTTATTTTCGTGCTACATTCTGAAAAGGGATAATTTCTAGGCTGATTCAAGATGATATGTACAACGAATACCTATAACGACATTTGTGACATTGGGCGCAATTTTTTCATTCAGAAACATTGCCTTTCACGAATCAAATCGTTCGTTTCTGACAAAACATTGGAGTTTGCATGAACAATGAATAATTCTTAGGATGACTAAGTTCTCTTATGGTTTATTTTTTCCATGAAATTTAAAAATTCTTTGATAAGTCACAATTCACACAGAAAGTGAATAAGTAGGACGACCTTTAATACGCTATTCAACTATTTTTCTTCTTACAAACTTTACTTCTACTATGATTAATTATAGACAAATCATAGAATTTATGGTCGTTCATGACAAATGTTGTATTCGTCTACTTTATTCTATATTCAGCTGACATTTCAAGATGATTTTATGACCGTTGACCATTTGGCATATAAATAATTTCGACGCAATTCGTTGCATGTGCCAGGTGCAGCAAATTCTCCGGGTACTAAATGAAAATATCAGACAGTTATACAATCAGTCAGAGGTACAAGTTATGAGCTTAGAATAAGTTTTTTAGAAGGATGGCGATAAACTAGAAATGATATGAGTCAATAAACGGTACATAGCTTCTATCAAACTTACGAGTCAGAGATGGAAAAACAGTTCATGCTTAAAAGAATCATGCAGAACTGAAAAACCATATTCCCCAGTGACAATGATTTGAAGTAAAACAAACTAATTTCATAGAGATCCTGAGTAAGAGTGAAACTATCAAATCCCCACTACTGCAACAGCGATGACATCATCGTAGTGATCATCCTATGTACGCAATCTTTGTAGCAACCTATCACTGTTCGGCCGCCCGTCAAGACACAAATCCTGGCCACATTTAATAGAACTATCTAAAATTCTTTGCAACTAGCAAGATTTACTTATTGTACGTGCAAAAAAACAGTGCAATTAAAATGTCGCGAAGACTTTCGACACACTGGAGACATTTTGTACATACATAGTACTAGAGGACTTTCGGGAAATGGGAAAGCCTAAAAATTCATTTGATTGAAAGATTTTAAAGAATCCTAACAAAAAAATCAGAGAAAGAAAAGAGATTTGAATCGCATGAGTATTTCTATAGTTGAATAAACATAGAAGATTCTAAGAATGACAGTGATGTTAGCAATTGAAATACTTTTGGCTTTAAGCATACTCGAAGGCTGCTAAGATTAAATTGGATTGGATTGAAGGAGCTTGTGAAATCGAAAATATCATGAAATTTGAAGAGACGATAAAATGAAAGGAAAGGAAGAAATATATATGGAATCCATGAGTGACAAAACATTCAAACAGTTCCATACAGTGTAAGATTTAAAGGAAACATCTAAATCAGAGAAATGTTGAGAGTAATGAACGTACTGCTACAAAAAAAACCATGAATTTGATGAAATACCTCCCAGGAATATGGAAATTGCAGCATGCCATATGTACATTCGTCCTATAAATCATTTATGACTGACCGATGTGTGACACGGATACCTGGCGTTGAAGATACAAGGACTTAGAAAACTATTATTTTCATTCACACCTCTTCCACCCTGCTGTTTATTGGGAAAAGGTTGTAGCATCGCTCTTAATTAGACCCTTCCCCCACAATAAAAGACATCGGATCTTCTATTATGTTCCAGTGGGGTCTTCTATTAAGAACCACATTTTTTCCTAATACTTTATTTAAAACGTTTTTCAGAAAACTAACATGATTTTCAGTTTACTAATTACAAAAAATTAATTAAATAAAGGGGGTATTCTATAAAGGAGGAGGCTTAGTTCGAAGCTATTACAGGTAAAGACACGTGAGGAATACTGGAAAATTCAATTATGACCTCAACTCTTGTGAAATAGAAACTAGAAAAAATGGAGCTTTTGGAGTTGGAATCAGCATTGTACATGTCCTCAGAACGGTAGTTCCCATATAAAAGGACGTGGTTTCTCAACTTACTGAGTAAAATATAGAGTACAATAAATGTTACGCAGATTAAACATTAACTTCCAAACAGAACAACTAATGAATTCCTCAAACGGATCATACTCAAAGAATCAATCGAAACAATAACTTGAACGGAGGAATAAGGAAATGATTACTTTTATTCTTAATAATACAACTGCTTTTTGTATCAGCTCTGAAGAGTTCAGATAAAAAATATCTCAGGCAGGTGAAACTAGTTAAAAGTTCATTTTTAGCAGTGAAAATATTTTCAAGTAAATTTGAAGTCGAAAAATTCTTCGAAATGTAGAGAATACATCCTATTCCGCAATATTGAACATTCCTGAATCAGTTCCGCTCACGCAACCAATTCCATCTAATTCCGGTAATTCCGCTTCTCACTTCCAACACAGTTTCGGAATTCCGTTTATCTCTTCCGACTCAATTCCGAAATTCAGTGCATCCGCATTGACACTACACCCACACCCACACTCTAGCGGAGCTGTCTCAGATAGTAATTTCGCTACGTCTGAGATCAAAGCATTTCATTGGACACTGCTATGCATCTTTCATCGAACTACAAGGAAAACAATTGAGTATCCCCGTGTACTTTCCGATATATTGCAAGTATGACACGTATTGCTTGTTGCAATATATTCAAAAATAGCGGCTCAGGTCAAGGTTTCAGCGCATTTATCATCAAATAGTAATGAGGATATTTGTTTATTTTACTTAGTATTAGTGATGCTCTTATTAAAACTCAAGACAGGTGGATCTAAAGATCTAGCCGACTTGAACTCATATAATCATGATTAGACCACTACAATGCAGTTCTCACTAGATTATCTATCTATCTCTTAGTGTAGTTTTCACCGATAATGTTTCGAGAAATAGACTATTAAGAATAAAAGGTATGGAAATTTATAAGCTCGATATAGTTCATTGCGATGACTATATATTGCTGTATGTACGAAAGATATTGGTTAATGAATAGTTCGCAGAGAAACGACGAATTATTCGAGATACGAAATACCTGACTGTTACGCTGATTCGCACAGAAGTCTACACTACTATAACTGACGCCAAGTAAATAGGTCAGTTTTTTTTATCTTTGTGCATTTTCAGATATTCAAATATTCATTCCGTAGAATGAAGTATAAACTAGATATAATTTGTTCAAAATAGTAATCCAAACTCTCTTCTATTTATAATAAGTCAGTACCTGACAATTTTTTTCCAGTTTGTTTTGATGTTACACTAGATGAAGCTGATGAGATAGACTTCGTTTGATTGCCTGTTGTTTGCGAGCCAGAATTGATATTTTTCTTGGCTGATTGTTTTGAGGTTGGTACGGAAATAGGTTCAAGTAAAGGATAGATTGGATCTATTTCTTTTAGCTGTATTATATACAGCCCATTGCCAGAATCAAGGCAGGATTTAACTTGAAATTGTCTGGCAGGAAGCAGGAGAATTTCATCTTCTTTCTGCACAAATGAATGGTTCTTAATATTTTTTCCCGTATGACAATCGATTTGAAATAGAGTACGAGTTCCAGTTTTACCAAAAAACATTTCACATTCCAGCACCTGCACGGATGAGGTACAAGATGAGAACCCCCACCAAATGAAAGTACTGCCTCCTGGATATTCTGCACGGAAGTCTGCTCGTACTCCTCGATTAACGAAATGTCGTTCGGATGGTAGGCGAGCCAGTGCGGTCAGGACAAGTCGTAAATACAGAAACCAAGGGTTGAGTTTCTGTCTATCCTCTGACCGTAATATTTCATTGAGAATGACATAAAGAGAATTTTTATGAGGGATCGATTCGTACGTATAGAGCATTATCGAAGCAGACTCGTCAGTTGTTAATCCATCTGCTGGATTTTGACAGTTCTGTTTCACGATGAATACGTTACGTTCAACTTTCGGTACGATGTTAACGAGAGGTTGTACTGCTTCTTCGATTGATACAAGTGGCATATCTTCATACCCTTCGATTGGAGCTAGCATTCGCTTAGGTAATGCACCAAAATCAGCGAAGCGAAGAGAAGCTGATTTATCACCATTTCCAGCAGCCATTCTAAAGCTTACAACCTATGAAAAAGAAGCTGTTAGAACAATCCGTGTGGGGTTGAAGATATGAAGCACGATGTGATGATTGTTACTAACTGTTGAAAAATTGACCTTTCTTATGCATATTGAGGCATATTTCTATATCTTCATATACTTTACAGTCTAGAAGTTCAACAAGGAAATATCAAGTAAATATCCGATGGGTGTGGGTGTGAACGTGGGTGTAGATGGTAATGCAGAGAAAGACTTGAACAATGATGATCACACTCACACACTGAAGACGTGCAGAACATTAAAGATTTATTGCTTTGGCATCTATGGCAAAGTAGCATGTTGCTGTGTGAGACTGTTTTTTGAAACAGTCAATAGGTTTCTTCAAAGATCTTGCCAGATGAAGGAATCCGATGTTCGCCCGATAGGATTCCGGTTTGAGGAATCAGTAACGGACCCGAGAGTCATATTCCCATACAAATCCATTGATATCCGGCTATCGGAGCTGAAGAGAATTCCAGCACCAGGGCTCGAATCAGTTACCAGTCAGATCCGATCAAAAACTGAGGATGTGGTTTCACTCATCTATGCATTTCTGAGAAGTTTGTTTCGGACCACACAAGCATTCATTTCGAAAGATTTATCCGAAATTATTTTCAAGATCCACATTGTCCCCATACTACACTCTAAAAAAAGGCTCTGTTCGAAACCCCCGAAAAAGGGTGGGTGAGGGTGTAGTTGGGTGTGGATAGGAATGTTTTTTTCTAAACCTATACGCACACCCACACCCTCTTGAAGCGTTTCCTGTTGCTGTAGGCCCCTAAACCCCCGCTGTCGCGGGAAGTGCAGGTATTGTTTTGTGAAACACGATCTGAAAGGAGTGTTGAAGTATATACAGTAGAAATTTGGACCCACTCCTCCTCCCGCCCCCACTGACCGGGAAAGAGAAATTAATACAATAGCTAATTGGCTAATTGGTTAATTAATTAATTTCTCTGTCACTGTCTGTGATGGTTTCTGAAGTCTGTGTAACGGTCACCGAAGATCTCTAGAAACTCCATACATCATAATATCGACCGTGGTAGACGGATTCCAGAAAAGGAGCTTAATCGTGTTTCACATTTTAATCTCACATGGATTGCGTTAACAGCTTTTCTGTTTTGAATTCAGTTTGAAATGAAATACCCTATAGAATCCCTCTAGCAAAACTTGACTTTTTCAAGAAAACGGGCATGGATTTTTTATTATGGGAAGATCCACCCAGCTCTCCTCTATCCTAATATAAATAAGGTTTTAACGAATATTCATGTTAAACAACACTTTGGAAATCATTTCGTCAAACCTACTAACTCCCCCCCCCCCCCCACAATAAAAGACTCCGGACCTTCTATTATTCTCCAGCGTAAAGATTTTCCAGCGGGCTCTTGTATCAAGAATCGCATTTTTCCTAATATTGAATTTAAAAGGTTTTCCAGAAAACTAATCTGATTTTTACGATTTTTTTATCAGGACTTTCAGGGTTTTAAGGGTGTCATTATAATTGTGAATACATTCTCTTAATATTTCCAACTTAAAATGCTAAGAATCAGGCATATTTTGATGGAAAAACGCTTATTAAAATTCGTAATTAGCAAAAAATTAATTAATTAAAGGGGTCTTCTATAACGGGGAGGGGGAGGGAGTACCACAGTTTTAGGCGGATACCTATATTTTATTTTGGGGTTTTCTTAAAGTATAACTTTGAAGCAGTAAAGCTGAAATAACTCTGGCTTGGCTCAAGTTTTTCCTCTTGTTTTTATTTTATTTTAAGGGTCTCAACGAGACCTAACTTTTCGCCGAATGAATTTTTGATACTATATTCTTGGACTAAGAAAAGTCCGATTAACTGCGTTTTTTCGTACCTAATTTGAGAGTCACACTGTATAAAGTGATTATAAAAAGTGGATAGAAGCGAGTTTCAAAACTCTGTCCGATCCAAACTTGCATATGTAGGCTAGCTCTAATTTGAAACCGACTCGACCTCGATAACTTTCATAGTCATGAAGCTTTTTCTATTCTTGTGGAAGCTATCAAACAAGTCGTAAGTCTAGTTTGGTAAGGTGCATAAGACTGTAATTTTTATCGCATGAGTTTGTCGCGAGGAACACTCAATCCTGTAAGTTTCAGCCCAAACGGAACGTTTCAAGTGACAAGTGGATTGTGAGGGGGTGGGCGCTTAACTTAAGTTCAATGTGGGTATAAGTTAAAGCACTGCTAAAACCAGATTGTGCTACTGGGAAATTTAAAAAAACTGGCACTCACTGTGTTTAGATCACAATAAAGTTGACGAATAATTTACAAAACTTGGCAATGTTCTCTATTCCGTGTGCGTTGAAAAGAGGCAAGTAATTTTTTCGCTTGCCGAACCAATTTTTTTCTGTTATAGACCAAAAAACAACAATCCGTGGAGGGAGAAAAAGAACGCAAAGATTGAAATAAGTACCATAAAAGTAAAAATGAAAGTAAACAAAGAGTGAGTGCTGCCGCTATTGCCTGAGCAATAAATTTTGCTTTACTTGGTTGAATACGAACAAACAACACTGCACTTCATTGGTACTTATCTGAGCGGCGCATAGAACAAAATTTCTCCGAAAGAGTAAAGCGGTGGGTGAAATTTAAGATCCTTTTTTATTTACTTAATTGAACGGTTCGTACTACTAGCGAAAAAGTTGACCATGTTCGAATTAAACAATAACTCTCACCGAAAATGTAACGAATTTAAAATATGCGCTGTTCACGATTTATATGGGTAGAGTTTTTCTATGTTTCAGTTATTTAGCATTATGCTGCAGAAATATGATAATATCTGAGGAATTAATCTCACATCAGCCTTTTCCAGAGAGGGAGGTTCCAAATATGGCCTAAATATGTTAACAATACTGTGTTCGTTCTAGATTCAGCTATATTTAGGGATGATGCGAGCGGGTGACAGGATTATATGTGATACTTTTCGCAACTAGTTTTAACTATCGGAAGTATTGGCTTTTCATTCAGGACATAAAACACGCTCACCCATACTGACATCCAGATCTACACCCGCATGAATTATTCTAAGGATCCCCTAAGACTCACTTGGGTTTTTGAACCAAGCGCTATTTTTCATATCTATTCAGATTTAAATCTATTAGTCTATAGTACGAGTTTGTGCCCAATGATTATCTTCGAAAGTAGTGCTATTCGATAAAGGATGAGGTTCTCTGTTCAGAAAAGTCTGTGGGTGTGAGTGTGGATGTGGGTGTGAATATCGTATATTGATATTCAAATCGAAGAATTTACCTCATTCAAGTTGAAATATAAATCTAGATCTGAATATCCTCTATGAATTTGAAAATAAATATAAGTAAAAAGACGCTCGCTTCCCGCCTGTTAAAACAATCGAAAAGAAACAGGAAAGCTTTACATGAAATGGTGACCTGGTCAAAACAGTAAAATAGGCAGCAGCATATAAGAAGCCACATCAGCCCACTTAGATTATTTATGTCCAAATACACTGAATCCTGCATAGTTTAGTAGAACACGCTACAAGAAGCATCTGATACTAAATTTGTTATGTTTCGCGTGAAATAAAATCCGGGACGGGTGCGACGTTTCGTCCCGGAACCGGCCTGGTTGATTTTTCCAACCCCCGTACCCGGCAGGGTTATAATCAAAACTTGGTTAATAGTTTAAAAGTGAGATAATCTCAATGAAATCAATCTTTCCAGCTTTGATTTCACACGATTAAATTATGTTACACAATACAATACACTATTTTTGTTTATTAATTAACAAAAAACTCAGCTTAAATTTCTTAAACTCACGAGTGAATCAGGAGAATCAGGTTAAAGAAGGCAGCTATCACAGTTTGCGAAGTTTCTTTAACATATGTAGAACAATGTTGTTGGTGCTTTCTAAAAAAATCGGTTTATTACCGGAACTTTATCCAGGATAAGAACCTAAAAGGTTTAGCAGACCAAGACCGAAGATTTCTTAGGTTCTTATTCTGAGTATAGATTCGGTAATAAACCGATTTTTGGTAGTGTCGGATAGATTAGGTGACCCATCGTGGCTATTGAATACATTTGTGAATTATAACTCGATAGGATTCAAACTCCTATCTCTGCAATTAAGAATGATCTGAAGGATTTGACGGTTTTTTCTATATCTCATTGCTTGGCCTGTCGGATACAGGGTTTTTTATAATTCCTCAGCCCGACCCGGCACCCGGCCCGGTTGCAGTACTCTAACGTGAAATGACCTCACTGCTGTTTTTGATAAAACTGAATGAATAGACACGTAAAGATCGGAACTTAACGATGGATTTTGTAGTAGTTTTGCCAAGATTTGAAGCCAAATACAAATAATCAATTGACTGTTTTATTTTAATAGATCTGCACTGTTGAAACAAATGCATATTATATACAAATATAATGAAATTATTGTCTCCTTGCACATTTTCAATAATAACTGCACTCGAAAATAGCCCATCACAAATAGCTTCAATTTCATTATATATTCGATTAGAAAAAAATGCGCAATAGGTTAACATATGGTTTCAATATTTGTTGACATATTATCGTAAACGTCTTTCGATTCATTGACGGAAGTACAAACTTTACGCTAGACAACGTCAAAATAGTTTGTCATACGTATTCTGAAAGTTTATTTATAGAAAATCTAGCTGCAAGTTTCTTTTATCACAATAGTATTTTTCAAGCTAGTCACCGTTTTACTTAACTATCACTATGATTATATGCAATCCTATATAAATATGTAGTCCGTTAGTCTAGGGCCAAGTGAATTGATTCTTGATGAACATTACTAGTGAGTTCAACAAAAAATAAATTATGGTTAAATTGGGATACGTTTGAGCAGGACATTACAGGTTATTCAATTTCTTCTCAATAGCCGTGAGGTTCTCGTTCCAAGGCCATTTCATACCAAACCCCTTTACTGTGATAAATGCCTACAAAAACAAATCATCAGAGGATTCATAAACAAAGCAAAGAACATACAGCAGTTGGAGGGAAGAGACCTAGCAGAGTACCATGTGGCCAGTACTTGCCTGAAAGATAATCCACAGCTCCTGATGTGAGAGGAAGCATATACATTGTGTGACACCCTTGCAACTCAGGGTATGCCTGAAAATAGTCAGATGTAACAATGATAAGAAAGTTATCTTAGATGAAAAGAATAAAATAGAGCGACAATATACTTTTGATGTGAACGCTTGTATGCGATCCTTGTGGTACGGGTTGGCATAGGAATCCCAGGCAATGTATGCCATGATACCCACGTACGCGAACCTATTCATAAATAAAGAATAACGGCTAGACTGTATCACACCAAATGGGAGAAAAAAATATTATTACACTTACGTCACTACATGAAAGAGGTATGGTCCTGGGGTGCGGCTGATTGAGAAGATTGTGCCGGCTGGATAATTCATTCGAGGGACTAATACCTTCTTCCACATATCAATCGATAGGTGATCTGCAATTGCAAGTGGCAGGCCGATAGTTATAATGTGTGCAGTCCGTGTACCCCATCTGTAAAAGAATGATAATGTAGAGCAACAAGAGGCATGCCACTAAACACCATACCATTCAGTATTAACTTCGCGACAAATCAACCTGTTAAGGAATCCGTAGTCGAGCTTCTTATCCGGAAAGAGAACATAGTTGGACAGGTAGTTTGCAGTCACGAACGTACCATAGGTTACAGCAATACGTCGAACGAGAGACATGTTGAATCTAAAAAACTGATTCTGAAAGTATATCTTTCAGTTGATCCCAAGCATAACGCTTATTGAAAAAAATATGATGCTGCTGGCGAAGATAAAGCAAAGTTTACTGATTATTCTATATGTTTTGTTATCTTCTTGTATAGCAGCCTAGTTTCCTCTTCATAAAAGTTATATTCACTATGTTTATCACAGTGGACCACTTCTATGTAACATAATTTCTTCATTGCTCTAAATTGTGAGATTAATATTACGATTCAATGACTGCTTATTCTCATTGATTAATATTAGAAAAACTATTTTAATCTACAAATTTATGGTTCATTCATGCAAATATCAACTCTAATGTGATACTTTTGATCGTCAAAGAAACAAGTTCTGACTACTGCTACTACTACTGGAATCAAATTGCACCCGAACTAATTTAAAACCATGAAAACTGTTTTCCAATAAAATACTCACCCTTCTGTTAATTTGAAACGGATATTAGTACTAATTAATGCCGATGCTAATGCTAAACTGATATCCCTACGAAGCAGTATGAATAAGTGAAGGCTTCTAACCAACAACAGAATACTTGAGATAAGAAAGAAAAATATTGTTTTGCGTTTCAAGTAAAAGTACAGGTCAGATGTACTTGGTATTTGTGTCTGAGAAAAATACAAAAAAAGTTTTTTTTATGTCAGAGCTCTGCTTGAGCTCAAACTCTTCGTTTTTGTCTATCCAACCCTAAAGTATTACCACTCGGTTCAGAATCAAATTCTGCACTCAATTCAGTCGAAGTCTAAAGGTTAGTACCACCAGGAAAACTGCAGTGCACTTCTAACTTATCTTATGTATGCGAAGAAAAACAAATGCGCAGAACTACATAAATACCGTGCTTTGCATCACATTAAAAAAATCACATGTATGAAATACAGCAAAGACAATCATTCAGGGTCTCGTCGTATAGTCACAAATCATTACCTTCTAGTCTATGTTGACGATATGCAATAGCAAAAAAACCTAGAGAAAAGTAATACGCGTACCTAGTGTAGGAACGAAAAGAAAGTAAAAATAAATAAATCAGTTGCTATGTACGCAGATTCGCGTCTATCACTGACAAAAAGCAACGTTATTTTTCATCGGTTGATAGAAACAATTTTTTCGATTATAAGAAAGAATGTACTATTCGATAGTACATTAAAAGAGTACCGCGTGATTTCTCTGTGTTCTTATGTAAATACAAGATAGGAATCATATGCGTCTAGGTGCAGCAGTTGCTTCTTCGTCAGATACGTCGAGACATGCTTATATACCAAAATATATTTGCACTGGGTTAGCATCAATAGATAGTGCTCATGGACACTAAACTTGGTACGATAAATATATCAGTTATATTAATCCTCTTTGGCCATAGTGGATCATTGATCGATTTTTTCCTTTCTCTCTCTAACCTGACCAGTTGTTGTTCATTGTTTTCATCAAGAGTCACCATGTTTGTTAATAAAATCATCATTATCTTTATTATTATTGTTATTGTAAATAATATTAACATATATTTTTTGTATAGTGAAACCTCACGCACTGTAAACTAGAGTGTTTTGCGAATGTACATCATATATTTCCTGAGTACTCTGATGGATTTTTGTAAAATACTCAGACATCTATATTTTGTTCTGCATGTTTCTACTACGTTCAATGTATTTAATTTAAAAGCACAAATGAGAAATAAATTATGGATCGAATTAAGATACGCGATAATAATACACATTCACTTTATATCGTTATAAAAAAATGAACATTTTAAATCGAAAATTCATTATCGTCCAGTAACAAATAAAAATGTATGAACTGTCTTCTGTATGATAGATGTATCTTCAGAGTATTGAGTTTCATGTTTTTGGAAAATTTTTCTCGCTCGTCTTGTTTTTCATTAATTTTCAAAAAAAAACAAATTAAATTTCATCTAAAACGATATTTCATCTTTGATTTAAGATATAAAATTTCACAAATAATTTTGTATTTTCAAATAAATATTTAATCTTACTCGAGAGATGAGTAGCTGAAAGGAAATGAATTTGTTTTTCTATTCTTTGCATAGCCAATTGACTACAACACTGAATGACTCATCACAAAACTCGCATTTTTGGGTACGAGTAATTCTTACGAAACCTTTGCAATCGGTGAATGTGTCTGTTGTGGACTACATTTGATCAAATTTGAATGAATTGAAAACATACCGACGTATCTGGAAACAATGAAATGACGAGTTCAAGCTGTTAGTTTCAACTGATGCTTTTCAGCAATCAACTCCGTCGAACTTGATATAAAAATATAATATAATAAACAAGAGTACTTTTAATAGAAATAATGAAATAAATGCAGAGTTAATTCGCCTACGCCTTTCTTATCCTTTAAGAGATAGTTACTTTTCAGGGCTAGAGATGAATTCAGAATACTTATTTCTGCACAACAACAAATAAATTTTGTACGGATCACTCAGTAATCTATAATTTGGTTGTATTTTGAAAAAATCTGCTATAAAAATGATTTTTTGAATTATCATTCCATGAAAGTCTTCAATAAATCGATTATAATTGAAAATATTTTGATAAATTCAATAGTCAACATGACTTTAAGATGCTACTCATCGATATTATATACTATATTTTAAAAATGTATATCACTACAGATACAAATCCAGTTTGATATTAATCATTCGTGACAGCACATTGCATCTCTCGATAAGCAATATCAAATAATAACAAAACAGAGAATTAATAATTACTTTTATATCACTTGTCAGTTGTTTGTTGACAATATTTTCTCTTACTTCTTGGTTTTACGTTATGCGTAGGACGAGAACTGTTCCATTTGGTATAACTATAAAAGATCGACAACATATTGCTCGTATTAATACTGTTTCTATTTTTCACATACATTAGTTATTTGATAAAAGACAACCTATACTTTGTACAACATGGGAATCTTGAAAGGTAAAGATACAGCTTTAGAGCATATTGAAAAGTCGAAATTGGCTTTTCTGGCAACATTAAGCGAAGTAACAAAGGGACCATCGGAGAGTGCAGTGCCACCGAAAGATCATTTTACTCTCAAGTTCGATCGAAAATCGATTCAGAGTTTAAAAGGACGTGTCTACGAAAATATGAAAGAATACACTTATGTACAACTGGGTTCGTTATTTCTTTATTGTTCAAATATGATCTCATTTGAAAATCTATTGATAGGTGAAGGTATTCCAGCATATTTCAATAGCAAAGGAGCTGAAACTGGTCTCATTAATCCGACCAAACCACCTGTACCAATTGTTGGTCGTCAATATGTCGCTTGCATTTATGATGATCTCAAAATAATCGATTGTTTAATCGAAATAAGTCGTAATGAAATCGACAATTTAGTTAAAATTGCTAATGCTCGACGTAAATCAGTCGTCTAACAATTACTTTTCTCACCTATTTTCTAATACTTGCTTTGCCTCTTTTGGTGCTCTCTTCGAACGCTTTTGCTTCATATATATACGTATATTTATTGAATAAACAAAAAAATAATGAAACCAAGAGTAACAAATACCACAAAAGATAATTAGCACTCGATTGTATTATTTGTCATCATGCGTGTTGCTCTTATTATTGTTGATAGAACTATAGGCACTTTCGTTGTAAAGCTATCTTGAGGGTGGGAATTTTCTATAAATTCGCATTCGCACATGTAACGGTATTTACCGTTACGGCTCAGTTTATCCTCTTCACTGTATCCTTATGTTCGTGCATTGGTCTGATGAGCTCTCTTTGTCTATATCTGCTCAAGCGTGATTACTTTCGCGTATATAATGGAATGCAATTAATGGAAATGCACTACTAGAGATGTGCAGATGACACAATACACCATCATGCCGACGGGCATAGGCGATACGCTCTATATTCGTCACAACACAGAATACTGATGAAGTATGTTATTGCACCGTCCAACAATTTAAAGGAGCATAGAAATACAGATACTATTAAATACATTAAAGTGATATCATCTATGGAATCAGAAAATCTATCTGATGATGAACTTGCATTTATTAATTCCAAACATCATGCTCGACATTCTATAGAAGCACGTATTGAAGAGTCGTTTTTAGAAAAACATGCGTAGATTACATTGGTATCATCACTTTACAATAACTATGATCAGAAATATTCTTCAACAATTCAACATGAGATTTACCAATGTCAAACACAATCATCATCATCAATGATTTCTATTTTTCATTATTACTTGATGATAAATGGCATTTTCAAGATTTTTATAGAAAAATGTCTGACGAATCATGCGTTGTCAAACAAGTTTCTTGTATATTCAGGTAGTCGTACTGATTAACGAATAAATGAAACAAACATATTCAAATGCTTTACAAGTACAGAACTGAAAACTAATCTAAGTCATAGTTTTTATTTAGCGAACACATAACTTTTCTTTCCTTATATCCAATGCTATAAATAGAAGCCGAGAAATAGCTGATGCTGTTATTTAATCATGTCCCGAAGAGTCCAATGGTAAGAGTACAATTGCTTTTTTGAAATCGTTCTACTATTATTGATATTTTAGATTGATTACAAACTGTATCAATTTTTCGTGGCACAACAACATTAAATGATAGTCAAGCAAGAAAACGATATATTATGATCAGTATAATCGGTCGTCGAAAAGAATCGTGCAGAAAATTTATAATCATATTTTAGTATCTATATTTCTCCATGCCGTGTATCAATTGATCGAGAGAATTCTTATTTTTACATCCTACGAAAAAAATATATCGTACGGATGGTTAAAGTTAATATGGGAGACAATATACTTATGAGCATGCTAATGTGATAGAAAATTCATACACCGTATTTTCCGAGGTGGATGAATCCGATCGGATCTCATGGGGTCCGGGTCTGGGACCTACTAACGGATCCGACGGAAAAAAACGATTTTTTTTCCTCATCAATGAATAAGTAACTATGGCGTCAACATAATACATGGGTCGAGTGCTTATGTTGGCTTCTGATTGTAGGCCACACACCTAGATCCCGATAGGATCCTAATATTGAAATCATTCTCGTGGGATGATTAAAAGATATCGACAATTCCACTCTAAAACTTAGCCCACAAAAATATGTATTCATTTTTTCTGTCAATGCATCATCCTTAAAAATATATTTTGCAAAACTGAAATCATTTGTTGGTACTCTAGATACGAAAATATAATCTTAAAATTTTTTAATTAGTTTATCTAAATATATTTTGCTAATAATAAAAGGCGACAAATTAAACGTTCAGTATTTTATTGCAAATTTTCAGTAAAATTTGTTCAGTATTATATACAAATGCTCAGTAAAGATATCAAGTTATCAGTGTAAAATTTAATGTTCAGTAACTGTTGCATTTGTTCAGTTAATTAATTGTTTGCTCAGTATTAAAATTAAAGTTTCAGTAATTAATTCAGTTTGCTGTTTCAAAAATACATTTATTCAGTAAAAAGTAGTATCTTTATCAGCAAATCACTTTTATTTTTCGATGTATATTTTGATGTAAATAGAAGAACATTTATCCACAGTGACAGATGATGACGTCATCAGTCAAAAGATACTATGTTACCTAGTTGTTCTCGATTTAACAAAGGAAAAACTTCTCGACAATGTTCCTTTGTTTGCTCTTTTATCTCTCCTATATAAATAGCTCGTTTTTTAAATAAGCTGAATTTTGATTTACTAAAGTAATATTACAAATTTGATTTAAAAATGGCAACGGCGACGGTAATCGGTGAAGTACCAACTTATGTTTCTGACGACGAGATGGATACAAGTGAAACGGAAGACAATGGAAACAAAAAAGGAGTGAAAAAGAGACAACGCAATTGGGTAAAAAAATGGTGTTTATCAATACTGAAGAAGCTGAAGAAGCGGTGATTAAAGAAAATCAATGGAGTTATCATTATACCAACACAACCGCTGCAGGGGAAAAGAAATTTTTTCTTTGTAATAAAGTCAAAGCTCGTGGTAAACAATGTGACGCTGGCATTTATTTGCTATTTGAATCTACAAATGATAATGTTGTTTTATTTCGTTCCACATCAGACCATACTCATGACAACATAGGAGAAAAGCCTTCAAGAATACCAACTGAAGTAAAAACAATTATTCAAGAATTATTTGAATTAAAATTAAAACCAAAAGCAATAATCGAAGTACTTCATGAACGTGGAATCACACCACCAAGCATTCTTCAATTAAATATTTTTTTAAGAACCATTAAGAGTACAAAACTAGGTCCAACTTCAATTAGTCTTGGTGAAATTGAACAATGGTGTCTAGAATCAAGTCAATCCATTCCTGAATCAGGTGATGCTCCTTTTGTTGCATCATATCAAATTATTTATGATGACGATGATAATGAACACGAGGATGATGATGAGGGTGATATTAATGAAAACAAGTTTCGTTTTTTTATTACAACAAAAAGACTTCTACAAACTGCCTCGATATAAAAAAAATATCCATGCTGACGCAACATATAAATTGATATGGCAAGGATTTCCAGTTCTTATTGTTGGTACAACTGATCTTGATCGACATTTTCATTTATTTGGTATGGCAATTTGTTCCAATGAAACAACACAGGATTTTAGATTTATATTTTGTGCTTTACAAGAATGTATGAAAAAGTTGAATTTAGAAGAAATCGATCCAGATTTTTTAATTGCTGATGGTGCTGATGCCATACGTAATGCTTTTCAAGATGTTTTTGGAGAAAAAGCAATGGTTATGTGCTGGGCACATATGCGTTGAAATGTAGTGAATAAGATAGAGTCAATGGTAAAGAAATCAGAACAAGAAGATTTAGTGAATGATGTAGAATCATTACAGTTAGCACAAGATGAACGTATATTTATAAAAGCTTCAAATTTGTTTGTTAAAAAATGGTCGAAAAAAGAACCAAATTTCATAGAATATTTCCAAAACGAATGGTTAACAACACATAATGCATGGTATGAAGGAGTTGGTCATTTTACACCAAGTACCAATAATGCTTTAGAAGCCACAAACAATGTTATAAAAAAGGAAAATACACTTCGTGAACGTCTACCTTTATCAAGATTTAAAGTATTAGCATTTGAAATTGTTGAAAAATGGTCGAAATGTTATGAAAGAGGTTTAAAGAAATACAATTACAAGCAGACAATCTCATTAGAATTATGGAAAACAGGATATCAATGGGTTAAATTAAACAAATCAATACTTTCGACTGAATGTGATAATTTAGTTCAATATTATATACCAGCTGGTGACGAAACTAAAATTACAAACGTCGGAATTGATGTAGTAAAGAAAATGAAATGGTATACATTTGATCAATATAAAAAAAAGCATTCACTATTTGGTCTGTTACATTGCCAGTAGATAAATTGAAATGGTTAGATGGTGTATGCAATTGTCCAGCATTTTTTAAGAAGTTGATGTGTAAACATGTTGTCGGCATGGCAATTAGATTAAATCACTGTAAACCACCACCTGCTGCTAAAAATGTTAAAATTGGTGAAAAAAGACGTCGTGGTAGACCATCAAAATCCAAAAAAGCGTTACTAATTCAATAAATTTTTCTTAATTGTAATTCCATTTTTTTTACTGAAATACATGATTAAAAAACTGAGCAAAAATAAATTAGATACTGAACAAAAATGAATTAAATACTGAATATTTTTAGATAAATTACTGAATTTCTTGAATTATATACTGAACAAAAATATTTTTTTACTGAACAAAAACTACTGAACATTTGATGAAAAATTTACTGAACATTGGTAATAAAATACTGAACATTTAAATACAAGCCATAATAAAATACTGCATTCGCGTATACCAGGTGGTATACACGAACGCAGCAATCTCTATTAAAAAAGAGCCACTTGATGAATTAAAAAACTATTGAAGTTGTGCAATACCATACAGCCATTTAAAAAAACAGAAAAAGATTGCATATCTGCTTTTCCATTTTTATAGAGCGACATACATGTGCATATTTGTTTTTTGAAGAAAAGAAAGCGAAATATTGATGATTTATATTACATCAACAACCTTTCTCTGGTAAAACTACTCTTGAAAGATTTATTAACGAACATTGTAATTTAAATGAAAAAGTTATAAAAAAAATAGCTACACTTATGAATATCAATACAAAAAGAATTTTCACCAGATAAATAAATAATTATAAATCTGTTTATATATCGCGCCCTAGTGAAACATCTTGTAAGTAAGATCTTGTAAGTAAGATCTTTGGTACAGATAAGTGAAGAGATCTTGAAAATTTAGGTACAAGATAAATGTATTATCTTGTAACCAAGATCTTATTACAGATCTTAAGCAAGAATTCATAACATCTTGAATGATGCATTCTGAAAGTGTGTTTGGTATTTTTTCAATATATTTTAATATTAACTATTCCTGTCCCGAATAGCTCAAGCAAGTCAGATGTTGAGATCTGACCGGTTTTAAGTTGGGCCGATATTCGTCAGAACAATTTAGGGTAGTCCTCTCTCGATCATCGATCGAGATCAGCATCCTCTCGATTAATCAATAGTCGAGAAATAGTTTAGAAAAAAACTTATTTTGTAAAGTTATGTTTTTGCATGTTCAATCATGTTGCTTATATTCTGTTCTGTATGCATAAAAAAACGGTGAATAACTAGATAGCCTATCTAAATAAACTAATGATGTCGCTTTCTGTTTTATTCAAGATCTTGTGAGAAGATAATAGTAAAAGAAATCGTTGCCATGATCTTGCTAAGATCTTATGTACAGATTTATCAGATAGGATAAGATCTGAACAAGCGAATTATCTTTTAAAGATCTTGATAAGATCTTACCTACCAATCCCAAGATTTCAAGATCTTACTTACAAGATGTTTCACTAGGGCGATGGATATTCGGTATACCAACAGTTAATATCTGAATCATAAAATTAATTTATATACGTATTAAATTTTTTTTTGCTGCTGTCCGATTAGAATTTGGTAAGTGCATATTTGTTATACGAAATATTTTTCTAATCGTTCTCAATGGATAATTTATTTCTTGATTATTTTCTTTCATGAAATGTAAATATCGATAGTGATCCAGTAGGCACAGTGTTGAATGCATATTCATGAATGATAGCGGTGAATATTGATTTGATATATATTTCGAATAACCCGAATCATTTCTATTTAAACGATGAAGTTCTTTAGCAAGATCTTCAACTGTTTGAAAATCATCAACATGAATATATGAATTAGGTACTGCAATACGTTTGTAGTGTTCTTTTGTTGCACCTAAATCAATAGGTACAGCATGCCCAGTCAGACCTTGTATCCAATATTTTTCTGTAATATATGTATCACATTCTGATGAACCTTTTTTGACATGGTATAGATATAATAGGTGAATGATAAATTGATTTACATTTTCCATAGATATCAATATGAATCCCATTTTGTTTTGAGCGTAATTTATTTACATAATCTTCACGATGTGAATTTGTATTACAACTTGAAATAAACCAAGCAACATAGATAATATTTTTGCTTTAAACTTTGATGTTCAGATTTTTCTTAAATATGGTTGAAGAGACGCAAGAGCTTGAGATGACAATGGCTGGTTACAAGTATAAGGACACGTATTTAATAGAAGTTGCTTTCGCGTAGTTAATTCTCTATGCGATATAGAAGAAAGATATTGAATGTGAAAATCTGATTCAGGTTTTAATGTGGATATTAAATTGAACCAACTACGAGTTCTTCGATATTCTTCATATTAACTTTATGATAAGAATTTCTTGATGATTCTTCTGAATGACAATTCATAATTGTGATAAATGTAAAGTTCGATATGAAATGAAATTAGATGACACTGGAAAACGAATAAAATCAACAAGACTAACAATTACACTATCAGCTAATGAATAATCCTCTGGATCAAGTACGTGACATATCTGTTTTAAACTATCATTAAAAATTTTCGAATGTGAATCAGTTCGTATTAATATTCATCATAGATGTAAGGCGCACCTTATGGAATGTACTGAGTTCAGCGTATCCATATACTGAGAAAGTCACACTAGGGTACCTATTAAGGGTACTTATAAAATTCTCAGTAGCCATACTGATGTAGGTATTGCATTGGGTAACCATATAGGCAGTATTTTTCGCTGAACAAGTACTTGTATGGATACCCGCACCTGTAATTTTACTGAGGAAAGCTCAACAGGGTATCCTAGATTTGTCGCGTTCTGTGTAGCGACTGTTCATTCACCGTTTTCTTTTGCGTGAACGGCTCCTTATAAACGACTCGGTGAACCATAAGAAAATAAACTATTTTCATATTTTTTTTCTAGATTATTTCTTGACTATTTATTAGCTGAGAACATGCTGATCTTAATCGTAAATTAAGATCGGACTACCCTAAAGTGGTCGGATGGAGATTCGACCAACTCAAGTTCGGTTAGATCCCGAAATTTGACCTGCTAGAGTTTTAAAAATTTTTTCAGACTGAATTTTTTGTCAAAAAAGAAATTTGAAAAACTTTTATATCAAAATAACGTGCTTTTCTGACTATTTATGATGCCGTGGCATGTGATTAGATTTAAAACAGTTGTTGACTTCTGAAAATGTTTCTTTTTGAAGCAGCTGACCGTGTTGGTTTGCAAACAAGAAGTTAGAACCGATTAACAAAGTGAATTCGTTGGACAGAGCCGTCTACCATGAAAATGTTTGATACACTGCAAAGAAGCACCTTACAAATACATTAACACTTCACAGATGTATTTTTCAATGGTTCTTTTTATTTCATTACAACCAACATACGAATACGAGAAAAAGTATGTATGGGTTTTGGGTCATACGTTCTTTCTTCGCTGAGAAATGGCACGTTTTCTCGTATATGAGTCATGACCGCCTATTGTAGAATTAGCTAAATAAAATATTATAAAATGCTGCCAGAGTTATAACATTCTTGTAGAGAGAAACAATCTGAACAAGTTTAATGGAAGCCTTTCGAAAAAATACACTTCAGTTCTCTAGTTATTAACCTGTTCTCTATGGAAACTATATTTTGCGCATGAAAATTAGGTAAAACTCCTTGAAATCAGACAAGTTTTAGAAATGATAAATGGACTGCAAAACCGTTAACGCCTTGCATTGAAACCAAGGGGGAAAAAGCGCGACTCCCGTACTCCAGCGGACTCCCTGTACTCCCAGACGATACGATAACTGTGCTTCAAAGACTTTTAGCAATTTCAAGTCTAATATCCACCTGTGTTACGGTATAATAGCGGGAGTCCAGCCAGCCCAAGCCTATCTTGCAATATAGCCAAAATACTTCATTGTATTCCAACGTTTAAAATGGATGAAATAAAACGAACTATTTTGNTAGAGTGTAACAACTTCATACATAACACACGTATATATAGGAGAGAGATAGAAGAGAGACAAGAGAGAGAGATATTACACCAATGGAAAGAGAACAGAAGGAAGAGGAAGGAGAATCATCGGAGCGTGCAATCAATATCGGCACATCGTTGAAAGCAGCTTCTCGTCAATTTTTCAGCAGTTCTATACTTTTTTCATTGTGAGACAGACATTTTCAGTAATATAGCAGCTCCCTTGTTGTAGATACCCTATACTATTACCCAAGTGAATTTTTATGTAAATATGCAGTACTTGGTTTGTATTAATGATATGTGCTGGTATAGCTCCTGTATGTTTCGTTTCTCAGGAGACTAAGTCGTCTGAGAACCGTGGTTTTTATCAAAATTTTTATTTTCTAAAAAGGCTCTATGTAACGATAGAATCTGTCTAGTGAACTGAAAACTTCATCATGACGACTAGCTCATGAAGTATCTTCCTGTGAAGATTAAGAGTCCTCCAATATTCTTCTTGGAATCAGACAGTAAGATCCTCTACGATCGTACCTCTGATTTTTTTACCTGGGTATCCAACCATGCTAAAATATCGCTGAAATAAATTCTTGCTCAAATTTCGAACTGCCTGCACTTTATAAATATTGATATTGAATTTTAACAATAGGAAAAACAAACATTCTATTGATACCTCTTCAATATAATAGAGGTCTATAGCGTAGCATTATTTTGTCGTTTTGTTATTCTGTTTTCGTTGCGGGTGCAGCTACAATCCATAAATAAATAAAGAAAAGGAAAAAACAATTCACATCATTCGAACCGCTTCAAAACCGTTCGGTAAACTACGGTTCTCTAACTTAGATTTTTTTGGTATTGCAGTGAATAATTATTTTGAAGCTCTTATAAAATCGCAGTCCTTCATATATACCAAAGCGCTGAAGCCGCTGGTATCAGCCACATCATCTGAATTCACTTGGTTTTCGAGTTTGACCTTTTATTAAAGATGGCGCCATAAAAATAGTCATTAGTAGATAACTTAACCAATACGAAAATTAATGATACCATCTGACACAGTGTTCGCTCTGATTTGCACGTTGCTCAGAAAACAAAAATGTAAGGCTTACACTTTGAAAAAGAAAATAACACTTTGATTTTAAATCACGAAAACACATTTCGCTAAAACTTCCTCTGCTTGGACAGAATTAAATTACTGTCATCGTCATCATCACTTGCTGTATCAACAGATTCACATTGTGAGATCGAAATTTTACGTAAAAATGTATTTATTAATTCATCAAAAACCGTACATGCTATGAATGAAAAGTATTCAACTAAATTTCTAGGCTATCTGAACTCCTTTCGTTTATTTACACTTTGTTTATAAAATCAAAGGGTGAAGATACACGTTTTTCACAAAAATAAATGTACAAAAACATTTTATTTCAGATTTCTATTAGAAACACTGATCTGACATAATATATTCTGGTATCAATACATAGACTTTTTTGAGTCGTAATCGACGTTTTCCAGATTAAAAACGTAAATTTAGCAATAAAATTATAAATGAATTGATAAACGAAGAGAAACCGATTCGAACCGTCGGTTTTGAAACGGTTTGAGTGACATGGGAAAGACCGACAAGCACGTGTTTCTTTTTTTGTATTATGGTAGAATGAGTCAGTGTTAACAGTGGGAATTTTGATTCATTTTTTTTTGTTTTTTACTATATAAATAATAGTCAACTGTAGATTTTAAAATCAAACTGATTTCGATAATGACTGAAGAAATAGCGGCTGTCAATCCTGCTCCATCAACCGAACAAAAAAAACCTGAAATCGTTGCTAAAGTGGAATTTATAACATGGAAATATCCTCCGTATTGCGAACTTTGTAATGTTTATTTTTCTGGCGAGCCCTGTTCGAAAACACATTTCGAAGGTCGAAACCATAAGAATCGATTACATACATGGAAGGAATATCAAAATCCTGATTCACTTCCAAAAAATTCCAAAGACGTTCTATGTAATATATGTTGGAAAAAAATGAATACACAACTCATTTTAGATGATCATTGTAAGAGTCCAGCTCATTTAAAAGAAGAACAAGGACGTTTAATCGTGCAAAAATTAAAAGAAGATTATAGACAATTAAAAGAATCGAACAAAACAAACTAGTATGATATGATTTACACAAGACTTTCATCTTGTTTTGATTGTTTTAAAGTTGATCGTGGAATCGGTTTTGGTATTTTATATAATAAAGGAGATGTATTTGTATAAGTCGATGAAAGATTTTTTTGATCACGAAAGTCTATTATTATTCGATCGGGTGATGAATGTGGACTAGATTTTTTTAATATTGGTCTCGGCATAATAATATCAGTAGAAGGCACATGATCATCTTTTGTTTCCTTTTGTGATGAGGATGTTATAAAAACGTTAGAAAAGCCAAGTAAATTAGAAGATTTATTATTTGTTTGTTTCGAGTTGGCAGTTGGATTGGCTATTGTAGAATTATTCACATGTGATTTTTGTTGATCATCAAAAGATTTTTCTGATGATGATCGTTCAACTCCTAATTAGAAGATAAAAGTTAGAATGTATCTATGAAATGTGTGAAATCATTGTACCTGAATCATTATCATCCTCTCGTACATGTTTTCGTCGACTTTTAACAATTGGTAATTGTTTTGATAGCAGTGGTAGATACTGTTTTGGATAAACACTTGTAATAATTGCTTTTCGTTGGGAATTAAGATTTTTCAGTCGTGTATTATCAGGTTCACTTTCATCTGTTTCACTTTTTTCAGTTCGCTCGGATATCGACGATAATTTTCTTGATGCATACGGCTCATAGGCAATTGCCAATGCATTGTTATAGGCTGCTGATGATGGTGGTAATATCATAGATGTGTTTTGTGTTCGTTGATTGGATGATGATGATGATGTTGCTGCTGCTGCTGCTGCTGCTGCGGTATCGTATTCATTCTGTATAACACTTCGTTTTTCAACATTACCATGTTCATCATTATTTATTATTGTTGTTGGCATAAGAACTGCTTTCGATAGATTATCTCCCGACGAAGAATCTACACTTAATGAATGACGCCATGCAGATGAACCATTAATCAAATTACGATTATTTTTCAATCGATTTCGTCCATTTCGTTGATATAAACATAATAATGAGAAGAAAAATAGAACAATAAAAAGTTTAATTAAACTAAAAAATAATAATATATAGGCTAGCACATCCATCCATGACTCGAGAAAGAACATTGTGCGTGTAAGACATCCAATACTGTACATATTACAACTTAATGGTACATTATTTTGATAGGATAAACGTCCATCGGACCCACAACAACGAAATGTCGATTGAAGTTTATCTAACGCACGTTTAGCACGTTCATCAGTACCTTGTCGATATGTAATTACTAGAAAACCAGCAAGCATTTTTATTTAAGAAAAATTCACTTTATCGATAGATCATACCTAATTTTGGTAATTGTTCTAACAGTGTAAGTCTTGTTTCATATTTACTTGTAAATGTAAGTATTGAAATAGTAAACTCACCAATGACAATCGAACAAAGCATTGTTGATGCAATAAATAAAAATACATGAGCTGAATATAAACCCCATACTAAGATTAAACACATAACTAATGTTATTATTGATGAAACAAATAAACATAGTGATAAATATCGTAATATCCATAGATCCTATAAAAGAATATTTTAAATCTTTTGCTTACACGTATCTATACTCACAATATAACCAACATCAGCAAGATTATAAGCTAAAGTTTTGTATTGTTGATCGAGTACAGTCCATAGAGCAAATCCCAATTCAATAAGACCAAGAATACATAGTAAAATTATAGAAAATTTGCTCACAAATGTTAACGTTGATTTACTCATTTTGTCAAAAATTTAAATCGACAATATTAAATTGACATAAGCCAAAAGTCATCATCTGAAAGTAAAGAGCATTATGTCAACAAGTAAATAGAAATATTTTACAATTACTATTAATCTTAAATTTTTTCTTCTGAAGTACTAGCTTCAAGCAATTTATTAATCTATCAAAGCCAGACTTTAATACGACGAAGAGAAAAAATAGCAGCATTTTTTTATTATTTTTTCTCGTCGTTATTTATTTTTAAAATTCTCATTTAAATATCGCTCTAAGTTACACTTACAGCTAAAATAATAATAATAAAGAAAATTCAAGATAATCATTTTTTCATCTCAAATGCCAATATATATATTCACATTTTATTTTCTATCAACGGCATATCAATAAAATAAAACAAGCATTGGATAATAAACTTTTTCTTTCTTTCTATCTCTAACAAAAAAAAAGAAGTGTTACATGGCTTTTCCTTAGATTATCATCAATAAAATAATAACACAATAACCTACTTTGATTACAGACGACTCTATAAGGCATACATATTTTTGATCGATTGTATTATTAGCAGGACAGAAATTTTTATTTCTTCGATCGAATCAAACGACAAGAAAAGAATGATTGGTTTTTATATGTCTATAAAGTCAATTCCCACTTGAAGATCTAGTACTTCTAAATCTTAATACCGCAAAAAGAAACAATCCCCATATTAATCATGTAGTGGCACATATGACTACAAGTGCTAATTTTTTCTTCTCGATAACCTTCAATGTTAAACTATCGATATGTAAAAAAAATAGCGTAACCTTGTAGAGAAGGGACGAGAGAGAGAGAGAGAGAGAAAGATACGCCATTTCAATGGTATTTATTTACTACGTTATTGACCTCTAAAAAAAAGAAGAATATGCAATAAAGAGACAAAAAGAATGAAGACAATCTACTAGAAAATTGATCATTTTTTTACTAGACGAATAATTTCTGTTTGATAACTGTTGTGACGATTGAACGTTCGTGATTAGGAGGACCTGCGCAAAAAAAAACTGTGAATAATTGTCAACTCTCACCGTTCTCTCTTTTTTCCCTCTTCATTCATTCATTCTCATAGAATATGTTTGCTTACTTCTTTCGTTCTTTTTTTTGCTGCATTCGAAATTTACCTGCATACTCAGTATGCTTCCAATTTTCAGTTGTTTTTTTTCAATGTCACCTATCGAAACTTACCGCAGAACATAAATAATAACTATGAAGAGAGAGAGAAAAAAAAATGAGAGAAGAGCGTTCATCAACAAGTTTTTTTCTTTTTCTTCTTATTTCATTTATCGATGATCTAATTTGTATGAGAATCACACAGTCTATTTAACGGGCGTTCATATTTTTCCTCCTGTTGCTATAATCAATTCAGTTAAGATAGTTTAGGTTTATTATATAAAAATATAACTTCATTATTCAGTTTGTTGTGCTTTTATGATGGCAATCTAATAAGACTTTTTTTTCTTGCACTTAAATTAATGAAAAAAAAATAACAGTTGTTCGTCTCGAGATGAAACAATTTCGATAATTAGATTATTGTTTCTCTCTTCCCCTCTTGATGATTTACAGTTATAGGTTTGATTTGCATTTAATATCAAAAGTAAAGACGAAATTGAAGATTTTTTCAAGAAAAAACAAAAAAAAACGTATTATATAGGTCTAATTTGAGGATGTTTAATTGACAGTTTTTAATATAATAAATTCAGCCATGAATGAAATCCGAATATAAAAAGATTTTCTTTCAGGTAATCATAAATAATTTCATTATATGAAAAGAAAAGAAAAACTCGATTAAATTACTGCGATGAACGAAGAGTATTTTGTAAGTTTCTTTTAATCTTTATATTATTATTTATGAAATCAAAGATGTGAGTGAGAGAGAGAGAGTCTACCGAATAGTATAGTGTTAATTAGCAAATAGAAAAATATACTCAATAATCATTTGCTATGTTTCACTCTCTGGCCTTAATGACCCTCAAGGGATGAACACTGAATAACAAGCGTATCTTTAGAAGAAGAGAAAAAACAAATGATCGATCGAATTCTGCTCAATGAAAATCAATTGAATGTCCTAATGACTTGTAACAGATATTCTTAAATGAAACTGTTGACGAGAGAATTTTAATATTGAATCTGTTCAAAAGAATCTCAACTCATCGAACATTGGGTGTTCTCTTTTCACGTTTGCTTTGATTAATACAATTCTTAGCGTAATTTGCTATAAATCCTGAAAGATTTGTTTCTGCTCATCTACAGTTCGAAAACGTAATGTCATGGAAATAATTTATAAAAAACAAATTCTGCGTCTTATCAAAGGCTTGCTTAATTGGTTCACTTGTCGAAAAGTTGACAGTTCAATTAATCTAGTCACATCATATTAACTATTTTGTGGAAGCATTGATTGTCATCGACCTCAGAGAATTAAAATTATTAAGTTAAAATAATTATCATAAAGATGACAAGCAACATTATATAACCTTGAAAACCAACCAGTCCACAAATAAACACTGGACATTTTTCTTTCTTCTTAAATAAATTCCGACTTTCCTTATCAAAGTACTATTTTCTTTTGGTCACCATCTTGTTAAATAAATAGGCCCTTATCGTATGTGTGCATATATTCTTTTACTTTTTTTTTTTGGTTATTTCGTTTTTACGATTTTAGATTGCTTCATTTGAGTTCATGGATGAATCGATGATCATGTTTGATAGTACTGAGGACATTTCGTCTACTGAAACAGCAACAACATACATTCTTCCCGATCAGACCGACACCCTAGATCTTAGCACTCGATGTGAACAACTTGAAAGGCAAGTAGAAGAATTAACCAAACAATTAAATGAAAGTAAGGAAAAAAAGCAAATTTTTTAATTTCCAAAAAAATGAATTCCTTTTTGTCTTCAGTTAAATCTGCTGAGAAACGTTCTAGTGATGAACGTGATAAATATATACACATGTATCATCGTTTTAATGAACGTTTTCTCGGATTTGAACGAAAACAATTGGATCAAATGCGTCGAATATTAAATAATTTAACAACAGATCAACATCAATTACTTCCTGGCACGAAAAATAACCCATATTTATTTTAGTCTTCATGTTTTTTTTTTAGAGACTCAAGATGATTATCGACGTCCACAACGAGCTTTTACTAGTCCATCAACATTGATTTTATTACCATCTTCACTAAATCAAACGCTAGATGATTCACCTAGAACAATAGATTATCAGAAAACTGAAGCCGATTGGAATGATTTACTTGCACAAGTATCTGTTAATTTCTCTGATTTTTCATTGTTCGATCGACTGCTTTAAATTCTATTCAGATATCTGAACTAATGGATTTTTCAGAAAAATTCACTGCGAAATATTCTGAACAAGTCGAAGAGAATAATAAATTACGTCTATTAAACAATCAAAAACAAGATGAAAATGTTAAACTCCTTGTTGATCTATCATTATCAAAAGCAGAATTTGAAAAAGAACAACAGGTGCGCAGTGAATATGAAAAACAATATAATGAAGCTAATCAAGTTATTGAACAGGTTAATTTCAAGATAATTCGTTTTAACGAAAAATCTTCTGTGTTTTTTTTCTTATTATAGGACCGTTCGAAACGTTTACAAAAGTTAAGAAATTATGCATCATTAGCTGACGATGAAGGCGATATATTGGTAAATTTCAATTAATAATCAATGAGTTTTTCATCTAAAGTGATGCTGATTATAGAGAACGTTTTTTGTCAATAGCCAAGTCCCAACAAACTAGATTACGATTTGTACTTTATTTTAGTTATCAAGTTTGCTACGAAAAGCCGAAAAAAACGATATGGACTTTGGTGAAATTAAATTAAACTACGAAAATATTTTTACAGAACAAGTGAATCATTTAAAAAAGCTTGTTAAAGAACGTGAATTATTACAGTTATATATTCAACGACTTGAACTCGAAAATGCTTCCCTGGCTGCCATAACCAATGATGATGAAACAATTAAATTATTAACTTATGCATCACAATCATCAGCTTCCTATGAAGTAAAGAAAAACATCTTGAAAAGAAAAACATTTTTGATTTATTTTAGGAAGCTTCCGATTTAATTAAAAAATTACGTGATCAAATCATCGAACAGATGAAAGTTCGGGATAAACTTCGAAACGATATTGAACAATTAAAGCATAATCATAGTGCTGATATGCGCCAAAGAGAACAAATCGAACAAATACTTACCAGAGATTTATCTGTAGCCAAAGATGAAATTCGTAATAGAAAAAAATACTAATCTTTCATTATTATAATATTGATATTCTTCATTTTGTTTTCTCGCAAAAGTTGTTCTGCAAAGTGTTCGAAGTGAATACGAACGTATAGCAAATGTAAACAAAGATCTGGAACGACAATTAGGAGAATACACGACTGAATTGATAACTACAAAAACTGGAGTTCATTCATTAACAAATCAATTTAAAGAAAAAATCGAACAGCTTAGCTCGGAAAAGGTCAGACAGAATAATCGAAACGTTGATTACAATAGAAACAATCATTTTTTTTGTTTTGTTTTAGGAAAAACTTGACGAAGACAATGCTGGACTCCGTGTTCAACTGCAAAAATTAAGAATTGACTTTGAAAATAGTGAATCTGTACAACATGACTTTGTGAAACTTTCTCAGGCACTTCAAGTATGTTAGTAAGTTTAAAAGAAGATTTTTTTATTTTAAAATTTTTCCGTTCAAGGTGCAATTAGAAGAGATTCGAAATTCTGAATACGAATTACGTTGGCAGCCTGAAGAAGATTTTTCCGAATGCCAACGATGTCATGCATCGTTCTCAGTTAGTTGGAGAAAACATCGTTGCCGTAAGTCAGCCAGTTGTTTAAAGAAAATTAATTTTTCATAATATATTTTCTCCATAGGTCATTGTGGTAAGCTTTCATTGATAGGACCGAAGTGAACATGTATGTGCATTTCTTTAAGGTAAAGTTCTATGCAAAGAATGTACGAACAAAACTATTTATAGTGGTCCAAATAATCGGGCCTCTCGTGTATGTGAACTATGCTACACATTACTGGTGAAAAGTTCTCAGCCGTATTTCTTTGCTGGTGCCAATAGAGCTTAACATTGACAACGAGCGATTTGATCTATCATATTAAAAAAAAACAATATATTTAGTGCTTCTATTTTGATTGTTTTTTCTTCCATAAGTGCGGTTGTTCTAAATGAAGTTAAAGTAGAAGCTTAATGTTTTGCATCGGCTCGAATTAGTAAAATGACGATTGGTTTTGCAAGAGGATAGAATCGAGTTTTTTCTTCACTTGGTCATCGGCATACTGTTTACTTTTAATATCATTTACTTCTTCTTCATCGATGCCAATAAAAAAAAAATACAGTTTTTTTAAATGGTACGCCTAGGACGCAACGATGATTATACACTCTTAAATCTCTTTTATTCTATTTGCACACTCTAAGCTAAATTTTGGTATGACTCAATATGAAATACGATCAGTTCTTTACATATACGAACAAGAAAGTAAAACAAAATGAAACGGGACTATTCTTGTGAGATGGATCGTAAATTACATCAGATTGCAAATAGCTGATGTTGGATTCAGCTGATCGCCAGCTTTGTATGGTATGTAGATTTTAATTTCGTCGAGAAAAATAAGATAGTCCTTCAAACTGAGTGCTGTCGTCAGTTGAGATCGAGCAACGTCTTCTTTCAATGAAGAAAACATAGCTTGTTCGTTTGTTTGGCACATATTGTAAACTTTATGCAATAGGCGGCCATTCATTCCTTCGAAGGTTGGAATAAGCATATCAAGTTCTTTATCAAGAAGAAACGATTTGACATGATCCTTAGTCCACATATCGATATAATGTGGGTATTCCCTACAAATAAAACAAAGGCATCCTCAAAAATATTCTTGAATATTAGAAATTCTTAAAAGTCGACTATTTCTTTTTGTATCCTCGTAGCGATGACTAAACTAGCTTGATTCTTTCTCTCCCAGCAGACGTGGCAGAAGTTGTTGATGATGAAAAGGAAAAGACCAAGTAGATGTACTCGCTCGGTTTGAAAAATTGCAGTGTGTCACTGCCTATAAAACTCCTATTCTCAAAATAGACTTACACAACTGGACGTGGTTCTTTGTTCTTTTCAACAGTTGAAATCGCTTTTGGTATAATAGCTGTTAGTGAAAAAGAATCATGATGAAGTATGCCATGATTGGCAGGCGTTGAATTTGAATCGTTCATTCTAAATAATCCAATCTGTTTCTTAAGTTCTTGATAAGCTTTATCGAAACCAAGCTTTGGAAAATCAACATAAATAAGTGCTGAAGTTAACACGCCAAGCCATCCATCAGCTTTGTAGTTGGCTGTCATAACTAGTGGAATAATATGGCATCGACGTTTAACTGCATAACTAGCTTCCATTTCACAGAAAGCACTTTGCTTGTAAGCATCGGACATACACATAACTACGAATTCTGTATTCTCAATAGCTTTAGCCATCGCATCAAATGTAGCACCATGCATCAATCGAGAATCGATCCAAACGCGTAATTGATCTTTCTCGAGAGCATTCAGAATGCGATGACAAAGTTCTTTATCATTATGTGAGTAACTGATCATGATATTATATTGTTTCTTGGCTATGGTTGGCGAAGACATTTGTTCTTGGACAGGTTGGACTGTTGTTTCTGGTTCCTTTTCTAATTTCCATATCAGTGCAGTAGCGACTAGCTGTAGTTCTTGTTGTGGTGACGAAGTCAATGTTCGAACATGATTGATGAACGCTGTGTTGTCTTTGAGCGTAGCAGCAAAATCTTTGTTAAAGGTCAATGCAAGAAGAATCTCGAGTGCAGGAAGTTTAGCTTTGAGCGGATTGAAGTTATCTTCGAGAGCGCATCGAAGAAAAAGAGAATCACCTTTTTGTTTAATCAATTCTTCACGAATTTGATCGTGCTGTGTTAACACTAAATGGAACAAAGAAAATATCGTTTTCTTGATGTCTGTTGAATGCTTTCTCTAGTAAGCGTTTTGTTTAGAAAAGTAAAAACGGTAACTGCCACATCTCACGTATTGAACAAAAGAAGTAAAACCTCACCTTTAAGACTTCGGAGACTATTATGTAGGCGACCTTCACTGCGAACACCTTCATCAATAGTATCCTTAATAAACTTGATGAAAACAGTAGCAATTCTACTCGAATTTTGCAGTTGTTTGATGTCCGCTTCTCCCATCACAACTGCCAGAATTCGATAGGCATGTAAATGAATTTCATTATCATTGTTTGATGTTCGTATACATGCACTCAGTAGATCGACTAACTGAAGACTTTTCAGGTAAATAACCAATTCAACATCCACAGTGAAATAGAAAAGTATTTGAAGGAGAGTCTGAACAAGAGGTAGACCATCTGGATCGATTGTTACTGGATTTGATTCACTGACAGACACTAAAATGCGTTTAATAGTATCTGCGATTTGTCGGCAATCATTCCGCTGTTCATCCGTCGTAATGATATCACCAAGATCGATTCGAAAAAGTAAGTTGGATACATGCAATAAAATATTGGTCATAGTCAAACCCCATTTGACATAGGGTGGTTGACCGGTATTATGCTCACTGAGCCAACTATTGAACCATTTGAGTTGAGCGCGTCGAATTCGTTCAATTATTTCGGGGCGTCGACTACCTCCATACCAGGTTATTTGATTTGGATAATTCTGAAGCATTACATTTTCTGCATTTGGAATTGAGCTAGGCTGTTCCTTAGCAATTTTTTCGAACATCTGTGCATATAAAGGAGAACAAACTTGATCAACCGCAATAGTTAATTCATCAGTAAGTTTTGGGTTGGCTAGTGTCATTGCTAATGAAGTCTATTCATGAAAATGTGTTTCAACGTAATGAAATAAGCACGGAATAACTTATTTTAAAAGAAAATATATGAAGCTAGCTTTTTTCTTCTTCTTTTGCTTGACAACAAGTTGTATATTGACAACACACAGAAAGAAAAGAAAATTGCTGGCAGTTTAACAGCTTTAACCACATTGAAATTCTTACCGTGTCTTTCATGTTGATTCTTTTACAGAAGTTGTGAAATAACGTGGAGAAAAAATAAACTTTTCGATCACCATTCTTACCGGGATGCGTATAGAAAATAACCAGCTATTCCTCTATTAGGTGGAACAAAAACATTTACTATAAACAGGCAAAGATTCACACCCACACCCTTCATGAACTATCATATTTTATCCTGTAGAGTTCTGCTCTGCACAGAGGGTGTGAACAGGTGCTCTAATTAGCCTTGCTAAAGACTTTTTTGAAGTTTAGGAGACCATGCATATTACATTTTCATCCTTTTTTTATTTTATCTCAACACAATGAAAACATATCGTTGCACACGTGCAGTAAAAAGTATTGGTGTAAATTGTAATGATGGCGATAAACAAAGTCATTTTTCACCTCGTACTTCTTTCATTCTCGCTTTTTCTTATATCTACGAAAATAGATTCAGACGAAAATCTCCACCCATTGAATAGTTTTAGAAAGAAGAATTTATTCTAAATTCAAATTCGCCACCAAACAATAAAACTCAAAACGCGTCGGAAATTTTTCTGACTGAACCATTTCACACTATTGGACGAAAGTAGACTTCCAAAACTATTTACTTATGCAGCATTCTATATATTAATATTTGCAATTGTTTATGACTTTTGTAGGATCGAATTTTCTTGATTAACATAACTTATCTATTTCTTCTTATCGAAACGTTGTAAATTAAGCGATCATGCCACGTGTATCGATTTGGTTTATTCTGGAAACCGTGCATTTTATGTTAGGCTCCATTGGATGCCTTTTCAAGCCCAGCACAGTTATCCAATCGTATTCATTAAAGCCAAATCCCATTTCGAGCCAAGCAATTGAGATGGTGCACGTCTTAGCAGCTTTCTATGTACAGAACACGGTCCTATGTGGGCTATCAATTCTCGATGGAAACTTAGCGCATTATAACTCTCTTGTTCTGTTCATATTTTACTATCTATGTGTACTTTATGATATCTACGATACTTTTTTCATTATACGGAATCATGGCGAAAATGGTTACAGCGTAAATTATCCTGGATATCGTTGGCTTGATACATTTATTCATATAGCATTCGGTATTATTCATACAATATACTTTGTTCATGGAAGGTTTTGAGGTTTTCATACAGTTTTAACTGGATGTGAGTGTGTTATTTATATCAGTACAGACGAATACTACACAGTTTTCAACTATATACACCAAATAATATTTATTTCGTATCGTTCTATCAGATCGACATACGTGTTGAGTCATTGCTGCGAGCGATTGCCCTTTAGTCGAGTAAATGAAATTAAAATCATTGCTCATAACACTTCTTAATTCAATGGCGGACACCATCTTTATATTGTTTCTCGAATAACGAACAATTGAAGATTCTTATTCTTCTTTAATTCGATTTTTTGCATACTGCTTCTACCGGTGCTAATAGCAAATGTATAATTATATTTATATTTTCGTGTTAAACGCCTCTACTATATCAGCTATGTGAATTCTTCTTTTTTTTTCAGAGGGGACTATATACTTACGTAATAAATTAATTATTTCTAAATCTCTCTTGAGAAAAAGGAGGATTCACATATCAAATTATATATATGTGAAAGTATTGTTGTGCGGAGTTCTAATGTCGCAAAGCGCCTTTCAAAGATTACATTTAATACATTACATAAAAACAAAAAAAAAGGAAATAGCGAATTATTTATTTCAATTATTTAGCAGTTGTATATTAATTTAAAAGAAAGCACCTCTTTTGGGAAGATACATTCAGACCAAAACTATAATAGATTGCGTCTTTCATGATGATTATAACTTAGGATCACAGAAGAAACTTTTAAGAAAGTAAAAGGAGAATATCAAATCAAAGCGAAAAAATCTAGTTACAGTATTGAATACTGGAAATGTATTTTTCCGCTCGAGAGTTCTTTTGGCAATTTTTGTGACTTCTAGATTAAAAACAAAGAAAAAGCTTGTTAGGACAGTCACTTTCGAACTAAAATATCTACTGAATCTTGGGTATTTTTTTCAATTTGCAATGTATTATTACTTCTGTTAGTCTAACATTTCAATTGAAGTCAAAGTAAATTATCTAAGATGAACTCAAGTTTTGAATAAAATACAATAGATTCTAGAAAATGAAGCATTTTCGTATTTCTTAGCCAGTGCGGAGCGGTATCGAGCATCTTCTACCAAATGCCGCAAACAGAGAATGATTGGCATAATACAATCAAACAAAGAGCATATTGATTTTCAAAAAATATTGTAGCAAAGAGAAAATGAATTCAAATTTGAAGTCGAGTGTAAACAAAAGCGTTCGGCTGCATCATCATTTTCTCAGCCACCGTCATACTCGTAAGGCAATTATTGCTGCATGCCGTTTAGACAGAACGACAAAATCAATGCTGTTCATTTTAACTGCCTGAATATGAATAGGATCAAGCAAAAAGTGAATACTTTGTATAATACTTTCAAAACATATGGATCGACTGTATGCCAATGATACCTGTACAAATCTTAGCAAAATCTGCTCACAAATTATTCTCTGAATGATATTTTTCGGTGCCTAATTAGTGTGCCGTTAATTTCAATGAAAAGTGACTTTCCGTAGACGGCTTTGACTTTTAAGAATTAATTATTCATATATAATGACACGTGTGCAATTATTGTAGAGGGAAACATGTTGCAATGATCATGAATAACGAAATCTAGAGAATCGAAACTGGATGAGACACAGAAGTGAGCACACTATTTCACAAGCGAAAAATTTTATCACAATGATTTTTCGTTTCAGAATTCTTGCATACATCATTGTGTTTCAATCATATATAGATGACTACTAAAATCAATTCTATTACAACTGTTTCTAATGTGCGTTTGTTTTATTTTCCCCCGGGGGCTCTGTTTTTAACAACAATGTTTTGCATTTTTTCTCTATAAACATTTGTTTTTAATGTCGTGCAACAATAGAAGAAAGATTTGCTTGTTGTCTTGTTACATATAGAGACATTCAGGTAATTAGTCAGAGATACGTTGGTACGCGTATGCCAGTAAATAGATTCGTGAATGGTAGGTTTTTTGGTAATGTATGTTTTTCGCAATAGTCGATGTTGTTGATTGTCAATACAAGGGTTTGATCGTGCTTAGCGTTTAGTTGATACCTCGAAAGCATCATGTTGGACTTGTTTCTATTGTTATTATTGTATTCACATTGATGGGACATTCGTTTTGCTGGCAGCAACTTCTCCTGATATTCATTGCGCTTCGCACTTTTCCCTGACATTTACGAAGTCAAATGTATGAGTTTGAAGAGAAAATAGCTCTCCTTTCTCCATTCTAAAACATGCGCTTGCTGACTTCTTTCTAGTTCTCACTATTGTGTCCTTAGTTTTAACAGTGATGCTGGAAAGTGTATCCATATTTGTTGGAATTATTTCTCCGTTGCTCTTTCCTATGTACATATACTTGTGTTTTATATAAAATAGATAGATTCTGGAGATATGAAGCAGCTCAATAAAATATCATTAACGAGGATCACCCTAAGGTATTCCCTCAAATCTGTCGCTCCACCTGCATTGCCGTTATTCTTCAAATTGAAGTTGACTTCTTTCTCGAATTTAAACTTAAAACAGAATATTTTGAAAGAAGTCTAATATAAGTTTATCGGATTTATGCAAAATAGCCCCTTGTTGAATCAAAGATAACGTCATCTGAATATCTGAAAACGACTTAAATTATTATAATATTTATTTTAATTCTATATAAAACAGTGCACGTCTAATTATTCACTGATTCTAATGACAAATAACTACGAAGAATCATCGTCATCATGTAAGTAACCAAAACAAAAAAACAGCAAGTTAATGATAAAATAAGACAAGAGCAGAAAAAAAATTACATAGACTCTAAGCAATAGTATTCATGAAATTGTTTTGGTTCATCTGAATTCTCAAACAAAGTAGTGGGTACCTAAATTGAACACATCAGGTAAACGTACATGTTTCTCGTTATTAACCTTGACTCAATCCTATTATCGAGTACATGGCGCATCATGATATGTCGTATTGAATTGAAGCAAACATTTTCCCAAGTTTCTGGGTCACATCCAAGTAAAAACAATTTTTTTCAAACTGATTTTGTTGAGAGAGTTTAAGGTTGAAAAAGCAAATATGTGCATTTTTCTCTGATTTTCACAATGCAAGTCCTTTTTATATATAATGATATCGTCGTTTGTTTTTATTTTAGCTGAAATAATATGTTTAAATTGTCAATCAGAGGAGGCAACACTTTGGTGTAAAAAGTGTGACACTAGTTATTGTTCGGAATGTTTCGAATTGGCTCATTCACAGCCTATTTGGAAAACACATACAGCAATACCCATTGACGATAAACCAGTTGTATTGGTCTCATGTCATGAGCATCCCGATGAGAAACTTAAATTTTGGTGTAACGAATGCTCGATATTGGCTTGTCGCGATTGTGTAATAGTTAATCATCAAGGTCATACATGCACCATCATAAATGATATAGCACAAGAAAAAGCAAACGAGGTCAGATATAAAGTATATTTTCATGAATTTCATCAGAAACGTTTTAGCTAGAAGATTCGTTTTCAAAAGAGCAATTATCTTTGAATCGCGCCATGAAAGAACTGGCAGATGCAAGGGCTACGAATGAAAATGATAGTATAGAAAATATTACAAGAGTTTTCGACACCATACGTATGCTGATCACCGACCGTGAGAATGAACTGAAAGCACATATTAATGCTATTGAAAAACAAAATAACGATCTGGTTGAGAACTTGCAGTTACAACTGGAGAACAAACAAGAAGAACTGAACAAGCAGAGTCGATACTTTGAACGTTTGTTCTCGACCAACAGTTATATGAAGCTGTTGCAAGCCAATCCAAAAATGATGAATTACTTAAAGACAACCACACAAGAATTAAACAAACTGAAGATGCCTATCCAAACTGAGTACCGTATCAAGGGAATCGATTATTTGCAAGAATCAGTAGTTAAGATCCTTCAACAACTGTGCATTGATGATTGGAAGCAAGGTAATTTGAAATTTATACTTTCTGATTCACCAAGAAAAGAGAAACCGATCCGTGTTTTTCTTGGTCACTTTTATTTGAAGAACTGAAGTTTTTTTTCCGGTGTAAAGAAAGATCAGAATGTTGAATATCTACCATAAAAATCACCGGATTTATTCTAAACACAATCTAACTCTTAAGAAGCTTTCGAATACGCGTCCCTTTTTGTTGCACAAAGCATTCTGAAATAGGTGTTTCCTATCGATTGAACCATTTTTTCTTGTTCACAAGAAAAACTTGGATAATTGAATTGTACTCTCTTAGTGAACTTGTCGTATGGCTTGAAAAGCATTAATAAAGTTACAAATTGGCGTGTAAATTTATTTGAATTCACATATTTTTTAACTGATGCTGTGTTTTTCAATATATAGCAGAGAAAATAAACGATCCTTCTACTAGATTACTTTTCAGAACAAATGAGATAACTCTTTTCCAAAGCAATTGTGTTTCTTTTTAGCACCATTACGTTCGAGTGCCATCGTAATTCTTTCGAACGCAAAATGGATACAAAACGGTCTTACTGTGGCTGGAGGAAATGGTCAAGGCAATCAAATGAATCAGCTTTCGAATCCACGTGGTTTATTTGTTGATGTCGATCAAAATATCTACATAGCTGATCAAGAAAATCATCGTATTATGGAATGGAAACGGAATGCGACAACTGGACGAGTGGTTGCTGGCGGAAATGGGCCGGGAAAAGGAGCGCGTCAATTAAATAATCCATATGATGTGATAATCGACAAAATAACAGATAGTTTTATCATTTCTGATTATTCGAATAAACGAGTAGTACGATGGCCTCGCCGAAATGGTGCTAGTGGTGAAACAATTATTACAAACATCTGTTGTATTGGTTTAACAATAGACGACCGTGGGTCTCTCTACGTCGTCGACTACGGAAAACATGCAGTGAGACGATATCGAATGGATGGCACTGAAGAAATAGTAGTTGCAGGTGGCAATGGGCAAGGAAATGGCCTGGATCAGCTATCTGACCCTTGGTACGTATATGTCGATCGCGACCATTCAGTATATGTGTCTGATTATTCGAATCATCGTGTAATGAAATGGGAAGAAGGTGCGAAACAAGGCATTATCGTAGCTGGTGTTCAAAGTCAAGGAAGTGGTCTCACGCAATTGTCATATCCTTATGGCGTCGTTGTCGACCAATCAGGCACTGTCTATGTGGTTGACCAAGGGAATAATCGAATTATGGCTTGGAAAAAAGGAGCTACAGAGGGGAGTATTGTTATTGGTGGAAATGGTAAAGGAGGTGCACCGAATCAATTTAGTTGTCCTTGGGGTTTATCACTTGATCGACATGGTAATTTCTATGTTATCGATAAGTACAATTATCGCGTACAGAAATTTATTCTGAATTCGAATTCATAGTTTATTGCTGCCGTCGTCGCTGTTGTTTACAGTTGATGACTTTGATGAAAGACATAAAACATGGGTTTATGGCCCTCTTTTTTTTCTTTGTTTAGAAAAATAATAATAGAAAGCAACAACAATTTTAAAGAATGTATTTTGTTTATTTATTAGTTACGTGAATAATAGATCGAAAAAAAAATATTTATACAGAAAAGATCACCGATGAAATAAATGTTGTCTGAAATCTATGAATTAGAGATGCTGTGGGATCATGAAAAATATTCATCGAGTCGTTGATTTAACAGAATATTTATGGTGATTGAGCAGTAAAGATAGATAATTATTCAGCGATGTATATAAAATAATTTTCAAATACTAATGAAACAACAATCGACTACATTCATTCTATTTCTATCTGAATCAATTCAACGACATACAATATTTCTTTAATTGCTGACGAATGGAAGAGATCAATGAAGAGGAGCGTGATGATGATGTCAGCCAGTTAATAACCCTTGATAGCGATGACTTTAAGATAATCTGGCTGCATAGTAACGAAACTTTAAAGGATGAAAATCGGTCATGGATCGAAACACGATTGTTTAAGATTTTCCCTACCGCTGAAATATTCTCAAATAGTGATTCGTGCCTACGCTTTTTGGAATCATTGCCAGCTGAAAGCAAGCTCGTGTTTCTGGGCAGCGGTGAGGATTGTGAGCGATTTAGAGAGGCAACAAAACATTTTCGTACGCATCAAAATTCGTGACGACGATGATGAAACAGAAGACTGTACACAGAAATAAAAGTATCAACAGACTATGGATACCTACGCTCTCATTTTGCTCTATAAAAAATCGGCTGACAACTCATTTGATGATGCTCAAATTCGTTTAAGTACAGTTTTCGAACGACTGGCGAGCTTCGATGATCGGCAATGTTGTTTCGATTATATTGAATCTTCCATTGATATTAGCACACCCATATTTCTGATTTTATTCAATCAGAAGAATGCACAGATTTCGGTAACCACGAGAAAGATCAGGACAATCTATCGCATGCACTCAGAAACTCTGTCACCGCCATCATCATTACAGCAACACTTTTACAATGTCGAACAAGTAATAATATCTCTACGTCGAGATATTCGTGCATTGATCGATGATTTGCCTTTCAGCATAATTCAAAATTCTGTTCGACAACTAGATCCTATGCGTGCATCATATACATCCCTCATGGGATTTATGGATGTTTTCATCAGTCTGACACGTAATGACGATCGAAAAATATCGCAACGGGATTTCTTGGCCAGTTGTCGTGCTGCCTATATAGGCTCGTCAGTACAATTACGGGCGATCGATCAATTTGCTCAAGAATATCAATCATTTGGACAAGCCATTGGATGGTATACACGTGATTCATTTGTCTATCATCTAGTGAATCAAGCATTGCGTTCACAGAATCCTGATATAATTCACAAATATCGCTTTTTTATCCATTGTTGACGGTTTCTTGTTAAGAAAAATAAATTCTTAATTCAATTGATAAAAGAAAAATGCTGATTGCATCTTCGGAAGAATTCGAATATGTAATTTATTCGATTGTTTGCAAATATGAGACAATAGATTTATTGTTAGAGAATACTTTTTTCTTACTTAAAAAAACGACTGTTGGCTTCGTTCAACGTCAGAAATATTCGAAAATGGTGTAGAAAGGCTGGCCGATTGTTGGGCACCCAGTGGTATAGCTGAGATAGTCGATCGACCTTTAGCATATTTTTTGGTTAGAATAGACGAAAACTATTTACGTATGTAATTAAGAAATAAAAATTGTCTAGATCTTACTGCAAAAGGGTTATTCCTTTTATCTAAAACCTTCACGTTATGACGATTGATATTAATTGATGGTTGAACAGTATTAGCGCGAATAATTGACATCGTTGAGTTTCTCAGGAAAAAAGTAAGCAAAGTATTCACAAGACTCTCGAATAAAATTTCTATTAAATGCTGCCGCAAACTAAATTCTCTAAGAAATATATATATTTTCTATTTGTACTTTGAGCTTCAGAGTGTAAGCATGAATTTTCTTCTCTAACACAATACGTCATGGATAATAATTTTGTTTACAAAAAAGAAAATTCAAATGCATAATATGAAAATTTTCTTTCATGAAATCAATGTAAAAGAAATTTAACCAAGAAAAGATGAACTGTAACTTAAGGTCACATTAACGTTCGTGCAAATAACCTAACAATTTTTCAACTGGATTCATCTTATTTAAAGATAAATATATATATGAGTGGTTTTTTCAAACATAATTGTTATCCAATAAAATACTGAAAAACGATTTATGAAAATTATGTAGGCATATTTTTAGCTGATGGGAATGTGGTTGACCCACACACCCTCGCATTGAAGATATGATAAAATTGACTGAGGTGGTCGGAGTTCGAAATCTGCATTTAACCACTAGATTCAATCGTTGAAACAATATTATTAGTTTTTAAATGCTAAGCTCGATCGTATCAAATTAATAATCATATTTGTCCACAGAAGATAGAATCATTCTTTCAAGTGTCATACATTTATCCCTACACCTTGTTTCAGCTCTATTCTCAATTACAATCATCGGAGAATAATTAATGGTTTGCAATTCATGCCAAAATCTATAACTTTCTTTCCTGATTAAAATGAAATATTTGATATTGTGAATCATGAATACAACCCACAACAATAAATTCGACACAAGCACATCAAATTTCATAAAATCAACTGATTTTCTCGAATGATCACACTTAGCTCAAGGATTCAGTACTCCTCATAAACACCAGTCCATTGACCAATTCTGTTAAAATACTTAATAATCATATAATAATATAACAAACAAAATCTTTATATTGTATAAACAGAAAAAAAAACAAAAGTGCATCTTTAAAGTCCTTACAAGGACTAAGCTAAATAGTAAATTCCATGTATTACGATACATCATTTTCATAAGGCTAAGACGATAGACAAACACACAGAAGAGCACAGACAACGCGAACGAGTAGAAAAAAATATATAAGAACAATGATAATAAATGAATTCTAACTAAGAATATTATTCATTTTTCGTTTTTTTCAATCAATATATATATATAGAATGAACAAACTAAATCTACGTATAGATATAGCGAGAGAAGTGAATGTCATAAGCTCAATATCGAATACATAAAGATGTCTTTATCAAAAAAAAAAAGAGGAAAAGAAAAATATACATAGAAATATTTTCGAGTATTAATTTTGTTTTTAGTCATTACAAACAATTGAAGATCAGCAACAACGAAATGCAAGTATCCGATAAAAGAAAAGGGAAAGTTCGTAGGGTTTTTATTTCTTTCGGCGAGTTATTCGAGATGTTGAAATAGCAGCAATGTCGACTTTAACTGTTGTTTCGGTTTCTTTTCGTTCTAGAAAAACAACAATAGAATGATGCTTGTTAGTAAATAAATCAATCTACCTTTGAGTAAATTAGTTTCAAGTTTAATGAGTAAAGCAATAAGATCGGCCTTTCGAACACCTTTTGGAATATTTTCACCGTGTGTAGTTAAGCGTGTTTTGAGCTCAGCAACAGTTAATCCTTGAATCTGGAAGAAAAAAATTTTGTAGAAAAGGATTTGCAGAAAAAATTCACTTTTACCTTCTCTCGTTCTTCTTGACTTAAATCAATCGGTATAATTTCAATCGGATCCGATACTATTTGAATTGTTTCTTCTTCATCAGCAGTATTTAATCCTTCATCTTGTTCGGCATTATGTAATCGTCGTTTACTCTTTTTGATTGTTGATGTTGAACTTTTTCGTTTATTATTATTTATTGGTGGATTCGTTTCGGATGAATTTTTTTTCGATTTTTTCGAGGGTACTACTGGTTCGGAAGGTGATATAGACTTTATACTATTGCTTGACATTACTGGAGTTTTCGAACGACTTCGTGTGGATAGAGGATCAGGTGATGGTACTAGAAAAATTCGATATCGATTTTAGACTCTCTAATTCAATATTCAGATCGATTAGGACTTACCTCGAATAAGTTGTTTGGTTTCAAGTGTTTTTGTAGTTTTGACTCGTTTGCTAACTGGTTCAGTTGGGCTAGTTGTCGTTTCCGGTGGTGATGATTTTTTATTTGGTCGTTTTCTATTAACACGTTTTGTTTGTACAGGAGATGATGTAATAACAACAAGTTCTGGTTCTGAAGAAGACTTTTGTTCGTATCGATTAGAACGCTTTGGCATTTTTCTTTTCATTTCTATTGATTCAATGACTGGTATGTCCTCGGTATCGTGCTGTTCATTGTCTACGATAGGTTGACTAGTGATGATTGGTGATTCAATCTAAATGAAAATCGAATTATGAAAGATGAAGATGAAAACTATTGAGCGAACCGTTTCTTCTGAACTATCATCATTTATTGTTATTGGAATGTGTTTTTTCTTTCTTGATATACCGGTCTTTTTTTTTGTTTTAATAATTTTTTTAACTTCATCTTCTGTATCTTCTTCATGTTCATTATCAGTTGGAACTTGTGGAATAGTTTCAATAGGATTTTCTTGTTTTGATAATTGTTCATTTTCTTCTAGTTTTTCTTTAGCTGCTAAACGCGCATCGGTCGATGGAGTAAATTGAAAGCGAACAGCTCGTCTTAAATGCATCATTGCTTTCGTATGTAGAGGTGTAACTTCTTGATGTTTTTCTTCTTCGATTGCTAGTGTTGATGATTTTTCGATTTGTTCAATTGCAATGGCAACTGGTGTCGTTTGGCAACTTGATGATGATGATGAACGTTTAACGATCGGTGTCGTTTGTTGTTCAGTTGTTTGAACATAACGAGGCCATGGTCGATCAAGACCGGGTGTTGTTTGTATACTGATATCAACAAGACGTGGTCGACGTTCAGGTGAAGTTTGAATACTTTCATGGCAAACAACTGGAACTAGAAAAGAAGAAATAGTGATTAGTGGAAGTTCGACTGGATAGTTTGTCACGGTTGAAAATTACGTTCAATAGGAATATCAACTTGTTGTTCTTTATCGGACATTTCGATTTCATCTACCGATGTATTTATATTGAATTGTTGTGGAGCCGTTGTTAACACTTGTTCTTGTTCACCAATAGAAACCATTTGTAAGGACTTAGCTCTGATCGATGGTGTCGATGATTGTAATGGTTTAATACTTCGTCGTGGAGATAGATTCGATGATAAACGGTCACTTTTTCGTACGGTTATTATTGGTGTTGGATTTGGTGATGGCGATGCTGAACCAGCTAAAGATTTTTGTAAAATAATCGGTGGTCCTTCACTGATGATTGTTGCATTTGTTGATAAAACAGATAGCATAGGTTTTAATGACGACGATGGAAATGACGAAAGACTTGTGTTTCCTGATGAAAGTTCTTTCTCTTCTTCGCTTATTGTTGCTTGTTGTTCAGGAATGCAAGGAATTACCGAACGAGTTGTGCGCGCGTGACTTCGACGATTTGCTAGTATTGAACGGCGACGTTCTGATGAACGAGTTGCTCGCATTGTTGGTGTAGTATAACTATATTCACGGGATAGAGTTGGCATTATTAAACATGTTGGTGTTGGCGAATCTTGTTGATTGGATACAAATGATGATGAACAAGATGCACTACGATCAGCTTCATCAGCACTGCTTGGTGATGGTTGTGTTATATCTTTCGATGTTGTAAGATTAAGAGTAATACCAGCAGCTGGTTCTGGTTCATCGTCTTCAGGTATACTAACCACCTCAACGAGTTCCGTCTGTGAATGATCATCACTTGGTTTTGTTTCTGAACCTAGAAAATTTGACAATTGAAAATAATAGTAAAAGCGAATGTCATATAAATCGGTTTCTATCAAAAATCTTTCTAGCTGAGACTTTCTACAAACGTACTTGATTCGTTGACTTGTTCCATAGTTGAATTTTCTGTGACTGGAACTGTTGAAGTTCGTACAACACTCGAACGTAGCACCCGTGATGATCGTCTTGGCTCGGATGCATTTGCAGTTAAATTCATCTTACCTAAATAGAGTTTACTGAAATTTGGAAAAAAACGGACTATTTAACTTTACTTGTTTTTGCTAATGGTGATTCAGTTTTAACGAGTTGAGATAATCGTCCACTTGTACGAGCTTTAATCAATGCACGAAACGCAACATCAGCACTTGTTGGTGGACGAATTGTTATAATCGGTTGGTAAAAAGCATCCTCATTTCGTGTTTCGTTTTTCGTATCTGTTGTATTATTTGCAAAATCATTCAATTCAAACGAAAAATTACTATCATCCGTATTTGTGTCATCTTTCGGCGTTTCTTGTTTTTCATTATCATCATCGGTAAAATGAAAGCTGTCTTCTGTACTGTTTGTACTATTTTGAAATGATTCTTGATTAGAAATAACTGTTCCAGCCATCGATGATGGTTCTTCCGTATCACTATTATCAACTACAAATGGTGGCGGAATGGTTGAATTCATACTTGGCTCTGTTATACTTTCAATGGTTGGCATAACAAGAATATTTTGTGATGACGGTAAACTTCCGCCGCCTTGTGGTGCATAACTTACATACAATGATGCTGTTGTTTGATTAATTAATTCAGTTGGTGTTACCATTGTTAACGAAAGAGATTCATGATTGCTTTTTGGTGATTCATGTGCTGTTGTTAACATTGTTATATTTTGAGTTATCGAACCTAAACCTAATAGATGTTCGAGTGCACGAAAGGATTCATCGGATGGTTCAGTTGGATGACGTTTTGCTGGTTGTCTAAAATCGAAGGTACAAAATGACACATTTAGGTGTTTTTTTTTCTTCTATGAAAGGTGATAATCGTAATTAGAACTTACTGTGTAGATGTCATTATAGCATTATAATCATTTTCTTTTTCTGATTCATTTAATGCTGATGGAATATTGATTGATGTTTGTTGTTCAATAGTGAATGTTGATGATTTACGCATTAATGATGGCTGATTGATAAGTATTTCTTTTACAATAATTTCATCTTCTATCTCAGGACTAGTGCTTGGAATTGTTGGTAATGTTGAACGTGTTAATTCATTATGATGACAAGGTGATTTAACTGAACTTCGTTGTGATTCATAGTTATCATCGACTATTGTTTGTTCAGTATACCAAATCGGTTGAAGGCTTGTTTGTCGATTAGGACTATTTTCTACTGCTACTGTTGGAATGAGATTCGTATCTGTGGGTATTTCATCGTGTCCAAGAAGTTTTAATGGCGTACGAGTTTGTTGTAATTTTGGAAAGCTTTCCTTAAATTCAAGATATGTAATTGATTTCTTTGTTGTTGCTGCTGAAGCCATACGATCAGCCTGTTCAATTGGCCCGAGGCTTATATCACTAGAATTATGAAACGAAAATATTTATTGATGATGAAAATCAAATCAAACTAACCAAACATATGGACTAGTTGATGATAGATGTACAAGCATTTTGAATTTAATTGAAGAAATTAATTAGAGGAATTCTTCAATAAGTATCATGAAACTTTGTTCTAGAAATACAGAAATAAACAACATGTGTCTGATATTGTACACTATTATAGAACGATCGGTCAGTGAAATCATTGTCATAATGATTTTAAGGAGCGATCTTTGTATGTTCCCGGCGAGATAATCTTCCAATGAAATAATTGAGAATCTTTTCTCTATTCTAACACGATGTCGCCACTATCGTTTTGATCAAGTTTTGACCGAATACATGTCAAACAGTTGCTACGATGAAATTTTCATGTTTTAAATGGATAAAATGATTCGATTCTTATCTAATATTTTCAGAAAAATAAATTTCGAATAGTATCGGCTTGATTAGACGAATAAATTGCGCATTTCTTTTGTTTAGAATATAGTTTAAAAATTGAAAAACTCATCCCATCATATATTTTTTCATTCTCAATAGCTGACGTGATGGAAAATCTTTGAATAAGTTCTTTCTTTTACTTAAGAACTTAATCATATTATTTTTCAAATCATTTTTTTGAAGAAGTCGTGTATAACAGTACAACTTGCTATGATGAAATTGCATTGTTTTCAATTAGAAAAAGATAAAATTCTTTATTTCGTGAAAATATGATCGGTGTTGTGCGATTTTAAAAGTCTGAAAACTAGACGATTCTTTGTTTCTTAATATTTACCTATTTCACAAGTAATACGAGGGAAAGATATGTACACAAATATTGGTAACAGATAAGCACTCATCAATACATAAATACGATTCCAAATTATTCTCTAGAATATATTTTATTTTGGATAAGTGAATAAAAAGAAAAGAAAAATCAAACCACACAGGATGAATAAAGAAATCGTTCATGTTTTCTTAACAAGTATTCGAGATTATGTTGAATTTTGAGTAGCCAACAATAACATATTCCATTGCATATAAATTACTTTTGCTATCACATCGTATTCTCACGTTATACGGAAAAGTTCGTACGATAACTGTTGTTAAGCTCAAAGTACTTGGTGTCCATCGGATAATGTTGACGGTATCAACTGCAGGGTTACCAAATCTCCTGATTTGACCAGAGATCTCCTGATTTTTGAACTTTTTCTCTGACAAAAAATCTCCAGATATAGTAACCAATAAGGAAATATATTTCCTTTAATTTTTGTCGAATCAAAATTGATTTTCAATTAAATAAACTATTTTATAGCATTTTCTTCTAGAAATCGATATAGTAACCACAGAAATATCTTTATTTTGAATGTTTTCTCCACCACTAGCTGATATTATTGAAGTATCACATTCATTTGATGGCGATTTTTCCTTACAAGTCGATTCATTAACTGTGAAAGCATACCAACGCATTTTTCTCTATAGGCAAAATGATGTTTCATTTATCTAAACTATTTTTCCCATTGAGTTTTTCATTTTTCCGCTGCAAAGCCATTTTTACATTGGTTTGACGTTATTGGGGGAACGGGATATTCTCGCTACTGTTTTTTTGTTTAGTGTGTGTATCGTAAGGTTAGTTTTTAAGCATTTTTGACCTGAACGTCATTTTTCCGCTTGCAGCGAACATTTATGTCACCGATCAAATATTTGTCTAATCCTCTTTCACAAACCCTTGCAAGTATTTATTATTCTCCGTTCTGTTTTAGTGTATAAAACCCTCGAACAGTGTAATCAATTGCATGAGAAGCAGCAGTAGAATAAAAAATGGTAATACTTGGGATTCATGTGATCAAATAGTGCTACTTAGGGGTCGTTCTCTTTTGAGTAAAACGTTGAAACATGCAAAATTGTGTACACACTTACCTTGAATATGCGCACCTGAATAGTTACTACATATAAAAATCAATATTCAAGTCAATTCTAACACATCAACATTGTATCTCCATACATAGTCTTTTCTCAAAAAGACATTGATTCGCTTGTATTGTTCGCTTTGTCTTGTGGTTTAACTGCTTAATGGAATGCTAATATAGTGAAGATGTCTCGATGACGAAATAAATCACCGTGTAATGAGCACAGTTGTTTCCTCGGATAAGCGACGTGAAAGTATTCTTCTACGCGAAGTAACGCAGAGCGGAGAACATTCTCAGCTGATCTGGCTCGATGAAAATTTCGATAATTCATCAGATTACCGTCGCGCACAATCAATGTTACTGGAGTTCAATGCAACTCTTCAGTTCTACTCTGATTTAGAACAATGTAGCGATTTTATGAATTCAATCAAAAATGAACGAGTTATACTCATAATTTCAGGTGAGTCGGCATGGCGTCTTCTTGAACAGATCTCCACTCATCCAATTATTGTTGCTATCTTGGTTTTCTGCACTAATCATCAAAAAGATCAATGGTTGATAAATCAATCTAAGAAAATCATCGGCATCTATACTGATCAAGAGTGCTTAAAAGAATCTATTCGACATATGATCACCCGTATAGAAAAACAGACACTAGATTTCTACCTCTTCCATCAAAAACAAAGATTTGGTCGAAATTTAGCTAAAGAATCAGCGGCATTTCTGTGGCATCAAATGTTGATCTATGTACTAAAACAAATGCCTCAAGATGAACAAACGAAAGATGATATGCTGAAAATATGCTGCAAGTATTATCGACATAGCAAAAAAGACTTGCAGAAGATCGAAGACTTTCGACTGAATTATTCAAGTGACAAGGCAATAGCATGGTATACAGCTGAATGCTTTTTATACAAACTATTGAACAAGGCACTTCGTACCGAAAATATCGAACTTCTAGTAGCATTTCGGTTCTTCATTATTGATCTATGTGCTGCCCTTGAAAGAGAAAGGCGCTATTTGAAGGATCAGCTTCCTCTTTTTCTATATCGGGGAATACAAATTCGAACGGAAGAACTTGTAAAATTGCAGCAAAACGAAGGTGAAATCATTTCGATGAACGGATTCCTATCTACCTCTCGTAATATTCATGTAGCACTTGCATTTGCTGGACAAAGCCTGCCTTCAGATGATTTTCAAGCAGTCATATTTGAAATCACAGCGGATCCTTCATTGGCTACTATAGCATTCGCTGATATACAAAGCAAGGCTCAAATAAAAGACGAAGAAGAAGTTCTTTTTAATCTTAATGCTGTCTTCAAAATTGGATCTATCACCTTTAATTCAACGACGAATATCTGGAGCGTGAAACTGACTGCTACTGACGAAGGATCAGAAAAAGTTCAAGCGTATATGATATGGATAAAGCAAGAACTGGATGAACACACGCCACTCATATATTTTGGCCGTATTCTACTTTTCGAGTTGGGCCAGGTAGATCAAGCGAAGAGATATTACGAGATGTTGCTTAAGTCGCTGTCATATGATCATGCAGATATTGCATCTATTTACAACAGTATTGGACATGTCTATCGTTGCAGTTGTGATCTGAATTTAGCTTTGAAGCATTTCGAATTAGCCTATGAGATTCGTCGAAAGCGACTACTGCCTGATCATCCTCACATTGCTGGTTCGCTCTATAATTTAGGCGACATTAACATACGCATAGGAAACTACGACCGAGCTCTCAAATATTATCAAGAGGTGCTCGATATAGATGAAAAAAACTACCCTGGTAGTCATCACATTAAAGCTGGCACGATTAAAAATATTGGTCGTGTGTACACTTATAAATATGACTTTTATAATGCTTCCGTTAATCTGTTTCGTGCTTTTGACATGTTTAAACGTGCCCTGCCGCCTGATCATCCACATATTGCTCGATGCCTCGGTTGTATTGGAAACATGTATGAAAAGAAGGGTGAATTCGACCGCGCAATCAACTATTATCATCAACAGTTAAATATGGAAGAACAATGTTGGCCACCAGACCATCCTAATTGCTGGGCGAATCTTGATGCGGTTGTCAATACTTATAAAAAAATGAACAATATTAAAAAAGCGTTGGATATTTGTCAAGAAAAGCTCAATGTTCTGAAGAATACATTGGGAGAAACCCATCCTTGTATTTCTCGAACGCTGATAATCATGGCCAACGCACTCTCGGATGAGAATCCAAATGAAGCCATCAAACACTATGAACAAGTTGTGTCAATAATACAACAGACCACATTGGCTGAACCTCTTCTAATGGCTAAGTGTTTTACATCGATGAGCTGCTTATATAGGCGACAGGACATGTTAGAAGATGCGATGCTATTCGAACTCAAAGCCCTTGACCTTAATCGTCAAACATTGCCATCTGATCACACACATTTTGCGAAAAACTTAAGAAATATTGGTATTTATTATCGAAGCATGAATAACCGGTCACAAGCATTACGCTACTTCAATGACAGCATGTCCATTTATAGAGCACACTACGGCCCAGATCATGAGGACGTGAAAATAGTCCAGACAGATATCAATGAACTAAATGAGAATCAGGTATAAAGCGTCCGCATTACAGCTGGGGTTGAGATTTCACTATAGATACCCAAGTTGGCAAAGTAAAAAGCCACTGGTTCTCCTATGTACAAACAAATCAAATCCAATAGAAAATTCGAACGATTTCTCGATTTTTTTAAAATGATACCATCGATGCCCTATTCTTTGAAAAGACTGTAAAAAAGCTAAACATACGTACATATGGGCTATGATCATAGTTAGAAGTATACCTCATTAAGGGAAAAATAAGCCATATATGAATCTTTTCCTTTCAATCAATCAATTCCTTTACCGAAATCAAATGGCTGATTTTCTAAGTTTTTCTCTTTCTTTTTCTTTTACCCTGGCTCTCCGTATATTTCATGTGGAGTCAATTCTTTTTTTCTAAATTTGAATCTCAGCATGCATTACAAGGAAATATTTTTCTCAACTCGAACTTTTCCCAAGATCAGGCGGCGACTCCTCCATCGAATGATCATCACACTTAGCACGTAAGACTAGTGCATAAGGAAACAAAGTTCGTTCGGTTGGTGCTAAACAGTTTTCTTTCGAACCGCGTAATTTCTGGCAAAGTTTAAGACACTGTTCTTTTATATTCGATGAATAGACAACCGTGTAATAATCAAGATCACTTTCTTCAATCAAAGATGGGTTTAGATAAAAAAACCCTTTTTGTCACTTCGATTGTTCACGTGTTTCATTATATGAGTCTGAGCTTTTGGGTGTGGGTGTGAGTTTAACTGTGATTCTAGGCAATGGGTTCATAGAAATGTCAAACCCACATCCTAAATTAGAATAGATTTTTCAATGAAAATTGAACGCCTGAATTAAGTATTCGGAGTAACATTTTTCGGTAAGTTGAAAACTCTTCAAAAGTTTTGTAGAAAGAAATCGATTTGGAAACACTTTCTCGAAAATGTCATCATCAAACATGTCAACTCCAGAATATATCATATTGATTGAGACATTTCGATTTTACACTCGAGTCTGCCATACGCATAGTTACTTAGTTAGATTGATAGATGAAACCTTTTTAATAACAATTATAAGCAAAGCAAATATGGCATAGAACTGTGTCGATGATACACACAAAGAGAACAGAATAAATTGTAGTTGTAAGTAAAAAAATAACTAGAACACTTTGAAGAACTGCTCGTTTGATTTGAGTAATGTTTTCAATACAAAAGATTTTCATTATTTTGTTTTTCTCAGTAAGTACTTTTCTGTTCTCAGACAATCTAGTGTATAAAAGCTCGTATATAGCCTTGCTCATTACTTTCAATCATGGCCATCGATGCTTTAAGTGTGTGTGTGTGTGTGTGTGTATCAACGAGAGAACCCGCTTGGGGTGATCCATTCGATCCGACTGCATCTACTATAAAAGTAACTCTAGCTGAACCTGATGAATCATATTAGGTAAATTAAACTTTACATATTCTCTTTCCTCAATTCTTGTCTCTGGTTATTATATAGTCTGCAAGTCTTGGCAATGAATTCGGACGAAGTTCATCGATCATGCAACTATTACCTATGGTTGTTGCACAACAGACTTATGTAATATAGAAGTCATGCCTTAGAACATGGCGAGACTATACCGAAAAATACTGCAATTGATCATTATCCTCTTTGATTTTCTAATATTCTGTCCTATCGATAACATATATTTCTAAATATTTTATATTATAGATCTTGATTTTCAACAATATTGATATGAAATTTTATGCAACGGATAAATTCTATACGATAATTTCATTTATCAAGATTCAAAATCCAATAGATTTTAATTTAATTTGGACAAAACGGCAGCTTGATTGATTTCATTTCCTTTTTTGAACTTTTCCGTTTCTACGAGAGATAGAATATTTGGTTGGTATAGTTGATCGACCAATAAAGCACCCTAAGTTTTCACTATTGCATGATCGTCAGATACGACTGCACATTTCTGTTAACTGCGGCATTCCTCAAATAGACTATTGTTTTACTAATGACTATAATGATGAAATGTTTTTGGAAAAAATTAGTTAGAACCGATAATTGGTTAGAGAAAATCTCAACATAAACATTTGAATTACCTCTGATGATCAAAGATAATCTTATGAGTAAGATGAAACTGTAATCGTTTGATACGAATTTTATATCGACATTTTAGTAAGCACTGATATTTCATACTTATACTGAAATATCTTTGGCTGAAAAAAATATCACTTTGTTATCCTTTTGACTCTTGCGAATGAAGAGCGATCCAAACAGATCACAAAAGATCTACGTTTATATTCTTTTTATTCTTATCACAATAGTTTTCAAGACTATTAATGTACTGCATTTTCAAACATTATTTAAATCAAAATAAATTTTCTTGATGCTTTCGATATTTATTTCCGAATTCATCATTTCCTATACCTATTCTCATCGTGCCTAATGAACTATAAAACTCTCAACAATTCATTGATAGACATATGCACGAGTCAATGATGATTAATCTCGATGAGGTACTTCCTCACTCACGTAAATATATTTAAACCAATTCATTGGAAATTTCCTGCCATTGTTTCTATTGTTTCCTTGACGAATCTCTGGACTCAAATCAACTCTATACATTTAATTCCAATAAAATTTACCAACATAAATTTAAATGTACACTATTTTTATAACATGATTCAAGCAAATTTGCTGCATATTAAAGTAAATAAATAACAATAGAGGTCGCTAATAACTTTGTTTTCACAAAACATCATTGGTTCGTTGTGTACTTTGCATCATACTGTATCTGCGTGATATTCTTTTTTTTTATTTGATTGATTGAGTACACGATTATTTCTGTTATTATATTGAAAATTTACACCCTCGTTTTTATTTTTCTAGATTTTTCACTATTCATAAAATAAACATTCTCTCCTTCTCCATTATTTATTTTATAATTCTGAATCATTTTTCCTGCGTAATACATCGTTGATTTTGAATCATTCAAATGGATACATCAAGCTATACTGGTTTACCCAATAAATTATGTCAAGGTTTAACATCTGTCAAATCGACATTAACAACCGGACATGTTCTGGAAAAATCAGAAACAACATTTCTAGAAAATCGTGATAAATTTCATCATCATATGGCACGTAGTGTTTTAGGTATCCAAGCACCATTGAAACTTCAAACTGAATTACAAATAGCAAATAAAATTGGTCGTTTACCTGGTCTGCCAAGTTCACGATTAATGCTTGACGTTTTACGTGGTACCAATGAAGATATTTCATTTGATGATATTTTAAATAATCAACGAGAATTTGGTGAAGTTCAAATTGATCCACATTTAGCTATGGATAAGCTTGATCGATTCTTTTAACACAACAAAAAAAAACATGAACAAATACTAAAATGAAAGAATTCATATGATCAATTTTCATTCTCTCTGTGTTTTTTAATTGTTATGATTGTCCGATTTGTTTCTTTCTTTCAGATATGTTTATATGATAGCTACTTAAATTATGCCGAAATATACTAAAAAAAGTAAAATTGTTTTTTTTCTTAAAGTCTAAATTATATTTTGATTTTATCTATTAGATCGTCCTCCTCGGAGTACGATGGCGAAATCAGGCGCTGATGATTGTGCATCCATTGATGATGGTGTTAGTTTATGTTCAAATATTTCTGATGGAACAAGTATTTATGATGATAGTGAAAGTAAGAATATTATAAATAATAACTTTTGGAAGAACTTACAGACTTTTTTAAAATCCATACAGTAGAGAGATATCAATATATTGTTTGTATAGGAAATTTAAACTCGATGCTTTCGAAAAATTAAAGAAAACGAAAATAATCAAGTCACTACATTATAAGATATTTGACAGTACCGCCTATGTTTTAACCGTAGTATACGATACTAGTTTATGTCAAAGGAAAATCTTATCTAATCATAAATAAATACCACAAGAAAAAGTTGTGGACGCGTTTGTACCTGTTGTCTTTACTCCATATCTGTTTATCATCAGATCTTCATCCTTATTGATCTATTGAGATTCAAACTAAAATTTTATAATTTTAGTTGGTTTCTCTTCAGCACCTGATCTTATTATTTCATCTGATAGTCTCGATGAAAAACTGGATATGTCAATTGAAGGACTTCGAAATAAAGAGTAACTATATTATATCATTTGAAAATATGTCATATATGCTTATCCATCTTTTCTTGCAGTTCAAGAACTCGCGAAGATTCATTACGAACACTTCAAGCTTTATTCTCACAAAAATACATATACGATTTAGTGTCTAGCCGGTAGCGAAAAATATTTTTCTAATATCCCAAGTAAAATTCTTTCATATATATATATATATATAGAAGTGAAAATTTAACTGAACAATTAGCAACATGTCTAAGGAAAAGTAATGAATCAGAAGGACGACTAGCAGCTATAGTTACATCACTATTTGTGATACAACTTGGTGAAACAAGTGATGAATTATATACAAAATTTCGAGATGCTATTATGCCAATATTACGAGATGAATCAAAATCGTCAGTACTAAGAAAACACGTATGTTTATTCAATTAGTCCATCGAATCGACATTGTTTTTTTTGTTGTTGCTATTCTAGTTTGCTAAAGCAATTGGAATTATTTGTTTTATTGCCTGTGAAGATATTTCAGTGAATATAAATTAAACATTGTTTTTGAATTAGTATCGGTTAATTTTTTTCTCTCCAAAGATGACTATTGAATTAATGAAAACATTGGAAACAATTTTTTCTCGATCATATCTAAATGGCGATGGTATATCACCTATCTTAAATCATGATCTACAAGATTTACATACAGCTGCACTTTCATCTTGGTGTTTACTAGTATCAACAATGCCAAGCAATCTTGCACACGAATTAGTGCGAATGTAAGTTTACAAAAAGGCAGACGCATTTCTTTTTTCCCTAAAAATTTATTCACAACAACAGATGCAAAAGCTCCAGTTACCGAGCTAAAGGTCGTTGCGTGCGTAACCATAACTACCGATGATAGGAGCCTGACATTTCTAGTGATCAACATAAAAACAAGCTGAGCCGTCAGACGAAAGCAAGCGAATCAAGATTTCTCTAATAATTTGTTACGATCCCCCTTGTATTTTGTATTAGTATGATGAAATAAAAACATTTTAGATACGCCCCTGAAAAAATTCCCGGTCTTATTGAATCAAATCATGCTGAATTACGTAATCAAGCAGGTGAAGCAGTTGCTATTCTATATGAAATAGCACGAGATATAAAAAGTGTAAGTACCATTAGAAAACAATCAACTCTTGATAAAAGCGATTTTTTTGTGTTCTTAGATATTTGCTGAACCGCCTGAATCATTATTATTAATATTAGAAAAAAAAGCGAATGAAAGTGCAAAATATAAAGGAAAAAAAGAAAAACGTCTACAGCATGCTACGTTTAGAGAAATTTATAACTCATTCGAAGTATATTTGATAGCCATTAATTTCTATCTGATTTAACGACTAGTTAACTTTTTAGGAAGGTACTTCACCAGAATTCGATGTTAAATTTGGTCGTGAAGTGTTAGAAATCACTTCATGGACAACTCGACTTTATTATAATACACTCAGTAGTATATTGGCTGCCGGAGTGAATGTGCACTTAAAAGTAAGTGAAGATTAATTGGAAGTATTATATAAAAAAAACTTTTTCTTTTCAATAGGAGAATGGATTTCTTCGTTCTATTTTCAATTTGGACGAATTGGATATGGAAGAAATTCAACAATCGAAAGGCAATCGATTTGAACGAGTAAGAATTTTGTCGATTGTGAAACAAATATTGAACTTCATTGTTTTTCTATTTTCAGCAACTAGCGAATAGAAGCGCATTCAAAATTCGTACTCAAGCACTGAACAAAACTCGTGCTAATAAAGTGACACGTAGTCAATATGATGATTAACTGGTGAAAACTAAAATACATAATGGTTCAATTTAAGATGTTCTTTTCTTACACATATATTTCTGCTATGTATTTAAAACAAGTTCTGCCTGCACGAATTAATTTCTGTAGTAAAAACCTGCATTTTACTCAGGTTTTTTATCGGTCTATTTTTGTTTTGAATAAATATAGCATGGATATATTCATTAATTGTATTCTTTGGGTTTTTCTTTCTATTTATTTATAAAACGAAAATCAAATAATGATCGTAGCACATGATCAAAATAGATATCTTCTTTTATTGTAGCACTTAGCATTGAGCAAGATCCGAAAAATTCAGCTCTATCGATTATTCCATCGTGTTGACCCGGAGTATTAAATTTATTTAAAAAATGTCGAAGAGCCTAAAAATAAATGATAATTTTTGTTATAAAATATTAACAGAGATATTTTCATTTCTATTCTAGATATATATTTTTTTTATTTGATAAATGACGTATGTTCTTCTACTACAGCTCTAACAAACTAATGCTTGAATTCATTTTTTCATAAATAAATGCACAAACTAATAAATTAGTTGCACAAATATTCAATGCGATATTTTTTTTGCATCAAATATAGCGATTTTTGAGTTGTGTCACTCTCGATTAATTGTGATATTTGTTTAGCCTTGATGACTGGACTATTTACATTGTCTAGAATACACGTGTAATAGTAGCGATGCTCCGGATCACCGGTTTTGTATATAAACGTAGATTGAAAGTGGATGATTATTAGTAGTAGAAAGGTGAGCTTGATTTTATTTCGATCTAGCAGTCGATTTCAAATAAAAACCTAGCAAAGTATGTAAACAAATGAGATTAGAAATTCTTTGGTTGAAATATGTAAGAGTCTCGCGAATTAGATAAGTTTATAGTTCCTTTGAAAATGAATGAATACTTGATCAATTAGTATCCAACAAGTCTCTGACTAGATGAACCTCTTGTAAATGATCATTATGTAGAGCGTCTTGAAGCGAGTTTAGACTTTGTCGACAGCTCACATTTTAATCAGATCACTCAAGTAAATCTTTTAGTTGCATAGGAAGTTTTCTTTTTTTTGAATTTTAAATTGTCTGATTGTTCCAAACTTAGGTTTCGTCTATGATGAAAACAGTTCCTATTAAAATGTTTTCATTTCACGATAAGAGCAAATTATCTGAATCAGAGAAAGAGACAATCTTTTTCTGCAATTTGAACTATTGCATTAAGTTAGGGTTTCGAATTCGCTTGAAGATATTCATAGTTTGTAGGTTTTACATAGCCATGACTCAATAGTGATTCATCATTTGACAGACTTCTCTTGTTTGCTTTGATTATTGAATATATATATACATCGTTTGTAGCAAATTACTTACATCATCAATATTTTGACTTGATCTTCTTTTGGTAGGTTTGAGTTGATCTGCAAATTTTGTCTAAAATATCAATATGTTCTATTTTTAATCAAAAGAAAAAGAAAAAAAACATTTTCTCTATACTTTAAGATCCATAATTGTTATTTGATCATCTTCATTAACATCAATTGAATCAAATAGATTTGAAATAGCTTTTTGACGTCGTTCACTCATTGGTGGTCTTAATTGTTGTAGAAATTCCGAAAGATCGATTTGACCATTGTGTTTTTTATCAAATTCTCGAAAAAGACTTTGATTTCATCATCACTTGTTATATCAAGTTCAAGAGTTTTTATAGCTGCACGAAATTCTTCAGATGTAATTCGACCCGAACAATCTAAATGTAATCAAAAAGAAAAATTCTTCGATTTAAATAAAGCGAACCTCGATCAATAGCTGTAAATGTTTCAACGAAATCCGATTGTTTAGTTGCACTTTCCAGTAAACGACGACGAAGTTTCTCCATACGTTTTTCTTCAAGCTGTAAAACAAATGAGCCAAGACTAATCTATTGATTAACATAACAGGAAACATTTAAATATAATTATTAAAAGAAAAAAGAAATTATGCGTCTGCATATTCTCAATTTTCTTTCTCTGTGAGCCAATAGATTATTTTATTTGCTCCTTCTGCAATACAAACTAAAAATAAGTACACTATAAGATAGCAGTTTGATTCTAGGAATTTTTTATTTGTATCTCTTTGCGTACTAACAAGTTCTTCTTTCTTTCTAATAACAACAACTGTTGACTAATATCGTGTTGATATATCTCTGATTTCGTATACTTAAGCATTGGGAAACTTATCAATTTACGAATGGAAAACAGAAATCTTTATATGTGGATACTAAAATGAATAGAGATTAAATCAACAAATTATCATATAATGATACAGCGAAGAAGAAAAATAGCGGATAGTGCGCAGCGTTTATCTATCCATCATCATTAGTGATTCATTGGCATGTGTTCGACCATGCAATAGAGAGTTTTGTCGGAGACGTAGTTGAAAAATTTCTTCTTGTATAGATTTTCTTAGATGTGTATCATTCACGAGATTTTCTCGTAATCGATTATTGACTTTTGCTGATGATTGTCCATAGTTCTTGTTTGATGTTCGTCTTATTTCTTCTTCTTCTTCTTCATATGTTAATGGTAATCGAGTAAATTTTGGTTGATAAGTATCATATGTAATCCGATTAGAATGAGAACTTGGATGTATTTGTTGATATTTACGATTGATTTCATTATTATGTTTATGTTCTTGACGTAATGGATCTGAATGTGGAATAGATGAGCGTGTATGAAAAATAAATTCCGGACGATATGATTCATTTTGTTTTGAATCCTCAAATATCGGTGCTTGATTGCGATGAGTTTGTAAACATGAAAGAAGGTCTTCACATCGACGAGCTAGCTCCGATAGGCTATCATTCATAGTATTGGTTTGTTTTCGTTCATGGGACGAAAGAAAATCGTTTGTTTTGTCTGGAACATTAAAACGCACTCGATGATTACTACTGGCAGTAGAATGATCAGAACGGATTGTATCGCTGAGTATCGACGACATAGATTTGTTATCTCGTTCTTTTAATATGGATTTTTTCGATGAGGATTTAATTTGTAGTAGATTTTTATGAGTTTTTCGATGATAAGAATAATCGTTGATTTGACTTTTGCCATTATCGAATGAAACGAAAAATTCAATTGATTTTGGTCGATTCGATTTGCAATCTGCATTGAAAGAAGTTGAACTTTTTTTTTCACGTTTTTGTATTGTTTGATATAATTGTTGTAAAAACGTTTCTGCTTTTTCCCGTTCATGCCGAGCGTTACACACTAACTCGTGTATACATTGTTCATTACGTCTGTAATTACGTACTATTTCTTCAAGAGCTTCGATAGGATGGGATGTTAACGGTAATGGATCAGTTCGTTTCATAATTTCATTCATATTGTTTTGAAGGACTTTGTCTTCAATTGAAAATTTTCTTTTTGTAAAGATTGCATAGAATCGATGAAGAGTAGCAAGAAAGAATGAGAGAGAATGAATAGAACAGAGAACGGCAATCGTTTACGTGCCATGGCAACTATCGATGATGCGATGTATTTCATCTTCAACGTTTTTTTTCTCTTTCTCTCATCTCCGTTTCTTGTCTTTAGCAAGGAAATAGAGAACAGCGAATAAACACCATTGATTGATTCAATGTTATAAATTAACTATATCTTATAAAAAAAACAGCTTCTCTTATTTCTTTAAGACAAAAGAAAAATATTAGAAAAAAAAGATGATAGTTCAACCAAGTGCTTTTAAATTAGTACTTTTCGGTATTTTTGCATGTGGTGTTGGTATTGTTCTCCTAAATGTTGTCTCATATGGTAAACGTCAAGGTGATTATGAACTATCGAACAAAGAGACCGCAATGGATGCATCAAATCGTCGTTCTGGTGAATCAAGTTTCAATAAAACTAATTCTAAATTAAATATCAAATCGAGAACATTCACTGATAAAAAAATAGATCCTTCTAAAATATTAATTCGAAACTATAAAATAGTGTTGGATGATGAAAAGGTATTATTCATTGTTGAAGATTGATTAAAAGTTTGTCTTATTTCGTTCCTATTCAGAACGGCAATGTTGTTGTTCATGAATCCGGTGGAGGTGATAACCATATACTTTTACTTCATGGCCGAAAATATTCTTCGGAAATATGGGCTAAAATCGGTAAAACCTATATTGAATTGTAATTGACTGCATTCTATTAATTTTAGGTACACTTCAAAATCTCACTCTTTGGGGTTATCGAGCATATGCTATTGATATTCCACATAGTGGAAATGATTCACTACCTGTAACGGGAGATAAAGCAGCAGTTCAATGGTTAACAAGAGTCATTAGGAAACTTCATCTTTCAAACTTAGTCATTATTAGTCCATCAATGAGTGGACGATTAACATTACCTTACATGTTTCAATTGAAAAAACAGCAAAAATTAATACGAGGTTTTGTTTATATTTCTCCAGTTGGAACAAAACAATATCAAGCTTCTGATTTTACACAGGTTAAAGTAAGTTGAGAAGATTTTGTTTCCTTTTCTGACTTTTAGAAACTCATTGAAAATATGATTTCTTTGATTAAGATTCCAACGTTGGTTGTTCATGGTGAAAAAGATACTGAATTTTTACCAGCATTTGAAACTCTAAAAACAATTCCGACAAGCGAAAGTTTATTAATTAAAAATGCGTCACATAATTCATATTACGAAAAGCCACAGGAGTTTCATCAGGGGCTTCGACGATTTCTTGGCAAGGTCTATCAATCAAGTAATAAAATTTCTCCTAAATCACTCAAGGAAAAACCTTTATTAAGAAATACAACAAAATTATACAACAAGCGAAAGCAATAAGCTCTCATATTGATAAAACTGTGATATCATTCTAAATCTTCTTTTCACTTTTTTTCTGTTGTTTTTTGTTTGTTTGTTATTTTGTGGAACTCACATATATTTTCGAAGAAAATGGTGAGTGGCAGTTTATAAGCGAGATTTTTGCGGCTCCCCCCTCCCCATTACAGACATTAATGAGCGTAAAATTGTGCTAATTAGAAGCATGACTAATTAGACTGCTATTTCTTCCTTTTTTAATTACACCCGACACGAAAAAGCAATGCTTGTTCATTACAGACCATATTAGCTAGCTTAGGGTACCATTATAGACCATAGCAACTAGTCTCTGCCATTGTTAAATTTCGAACTATTTTAGTAAGCCTAAGGGATATATGTGAGTTCCACATTTTAGCCCCAACGGGGCTGCGATAACAAGCGTTTCAATTAAAAATAATAAATAATTTGCATTAGTGATAATTATAAAGATAATTGTATATTTTATTATTGCATTTAAATCTTGACATTATGGACGTAAAAAACCTAACATGGCCAATTTTGACATTGCTCATGGTCTTATCAGATGCACTATCTATTTTGAATTCTCGAAAAAATTCCATATCAATATAATTATATGTTTTAGTTTATAAAGTACAATAGAATATGCAACAGATGATTCATTCTAGTACCCAGTGAAAAATATTACTAAAAAAGAGCGGTAAAGAATGCGTTCCAAAAGAACTGAAGCTCTTTTTTTAAGAAAAGAAAACGTTCCACAACAAATGGAAACCGTTCTCAAATGGAACGCACTAGAACGCATTCTATCGTTCTAAGAAGGTGTTCTTGGTCGTTTCGAAATGGAACAGTGAAGAACGCATTCTACCACTTGTGGAACGCTTTCTCTTCTTTAAAACGGTTAACCTTTCTGATCACCTGGGTGATCATTAATAGATGAATCTACAATTAGTCAAAAGACTGTTCCTGATGCAAC